AATTGACAGTAGCGGCACTGGGTTTCAGGATCAAAATGATGAAATAAAGAAGTGAATCGAGTGGCGTTGAAGTGATTTTCAATTTTTTATGCGATTCTGAAAAGCGATGTACCATTGCACCTGAACAGGAAAGTTTTCAACCAGTGCCCCATCACATGCTATGACATGGATCGGAAACGTTTTGACACCGACAAAGAGAATGGAAGGCGAAGCTGAAATGTGTGCAGTGAAGCAAGGAGAGATGCATGATGAGAATTACACTGGGAGACAAAAATAGGAACACATGGATCAGAGAACAGAAAGTTACGAGTGATCATTTAAATTTATAATGCGCATTCCATCCTAGGATCCCAATGCGCAATGCATGAAAAGCCAGGAAACGAAAACAGAACAAGGGCAACCGACCAAACTAAAGAGGGAAAGGCCAGTATAAGGAGATGGGTTTTCAAAGCACACTTGAATATATCTACCGACTCCGATTGCCCTGATTTCAAGTGGAAAGGCCTTCCATAGTTTGGGTGCCATGCTAACAAAAACCCCGATCACCAAAAAGAGCACAACCTGGACCTGAGAGTGCTGACCAGTGGGAGATCAGAAGATCTTAACGACCTTGATGGAATATAATGTAATGGTTCCTGCAAATAATGTGGGGTGACCCCTTTTTAAAGCGTTATCGGTTAATAGCAGTATCCACTTGAGGAAAAAAATGTATGATACATAGGGGACCCTCAGACATCTCATAACTGCAATCATACGGTCAGGAATCTCAACTGAACTATGGGATGGAGTAGTGGTTTGTCCGAAATGGTGTGAACCCAGTGAGCAGATTTCAATTTGCAACCATGGCTAACGTCAGTGGCGAGTGATATCGGAGCCGATCCTGGACCCCCTCTCCCCTTCCCCCACAACTATTCACCAATGCACACTGACTGGCATGGTGAAGTATGGTCAAATAACCGCAATAACCAACGTGGCATGGGGAGGGCCATCGTCAAGCAGTGGATTGACAGAGGGCTGTAGATTAGTGTTTGTTTATTTATTGTACTTAAATTCAAACTTGCACAATCCACACCACACATGAATACACAATTAATAATTCACGCCCTTTGTCTCAATTGACTCTAACCTGGCTAAGTATGGGTATGACTGAAGTAATGAACAAATTAAATTTGGTCATGCCACACCTTTGGGTTGCAGCCTTGCACCCCGTTGGGGCATGCGCTGCTAGCGAACACCTATTAGCACACCACCACTAGAGATTAAATTAGCTCGCGTGCACAAGCTGGATGGATTGTTACATCACAGGATCGTGCGATGCGGCTGCGGCTTGGGGAAAGGCTTCATCTAGCAGCGGATTAACCATGGCTGATGGCGCCGATGGGTTTTGGCGGGTTACGTGTACATAGACTAGCCCTGTATTCTGTCAGGCCCAGGCTCGGCTGCGGCGTTCAGCACAGTACGAGTTAAATTCCCGGTCAAGTGTCTGGTGACAGGAGGCCAGGTGTTAGATTACAGCTTCTGAAAAGTGGCCCTCACTTGCAAATTCAAAGGCCCAGTGGCTGTGACAGACCTGAATTAGAGGTTGTGGGCACAGCTTTTGAGAGTGCAGGCGGTGCAACTGCACCAGGGGCCCCGCAGCCCAGGCGACGGGCTAGGAGAGGGAGGTGAACTGGACAATTCACTGCTGGATGAAGGCCTATACACGCCATTTCAGCCATGGAGGTAAAAGACCAGGTACAGCCCTGCAACGTGCTTGCTCTCATCACACCATTGCTGGCAGAAGAGCATCAATACAAGAGGGTACTTGATCTACTCATCCCCGCTGGATGAGGTGGGGGGTTCTCAAACTTTGTTTTCCCCACCAAACGACTAACTCAGCCACGGGCGACCACTTGAGAATTCGCGTGCCTACTACTTCCGTTTGGCGTTGCCGCGAATCGAACTCGCACCGACCAGATATAGAACTCAGTGCGCTCACCACTGCGCCACCACTCCGCTCAATGCAATAAAGTACCGTGTACATTTTACACTTTTCATTTGTGGGGGGGGGGGGGATACACCAAACTACGCAAAACGTATTCCAGATTAGATTCCTTAAGTTAAATAATAAAAATTAATTTCTCAAATGGATTATTGGTTTTGGTTAGAAGTTGAGTGCGCCTAGATCTTGTTTGTCTATTCACTGCTGGATGAGGACCTCCCCACGTCGTGTGGGCCATTGAAGTTTTTTTTTAAAGCCCTTCCCCACGTTGATAAGTTGGTGTAGCCAGGGAGCACCGCAATGGGAGCATAGAAGTACAGCGAAACAATGGGATTTTGCCCTGAAGTCCCACTGGCTAGCAAAGCAGCAACGCACAGCAGCTGGTGTACGCATGGTACTCAATGACCATCCCATTGGTGCTTGTCCAGGTTCCAACCCCTGCTTAGGTTCCGAGAAGTCTAGCGAGATCGGGCGGATCCCCGGCCCATTCGGTCATCACGCGCCGAGGTGCAAAAGGTGTGGTGTTTACGGATGCATCTATCATAGAGGAAAAATGTTGCGGGAATCTCTTACACATTACATTGATTTCACCCATGACTATTTTTGTAGGATGCTACAGAGGGGAAAAGAGAGCCATGAAGTTCGCTATCTCAATAATTTGGCGGGAACCCACTGACCACTCAAGCAACTGCTACTTCTACATGGTGGACCATTCCAAACGTCGGACTGGCAAGAATGCACCTGCTATCAGGTATCCGGACCTTCCTTCATCCATCGCCCCGGTGCCACACTGCCATGAGCTCCCTGTACCCACTCCTCCGGAGAGAAAGCAGCCGTCTTTAGAAGAGAGCAGCAAGTCAGAAAGCGAGGAAGACGTTGCAGATCCAGATGAGGTGGAGCTGAGGAAAGAACCCCATGCTACCCTTACCAAAAAGACCTCAACAACTTGATCATAGATATTGACCTCACCAAGTTAAATGCCGAGCTTTTGACGTCTTGGGTCAAGCTGTGGAACTTGTTGAATGAAAGTGTGCAAGTCGCAGATCAGAGGAAGCGTCACCAACCTTTTTGCAGCTTCTTAAACCGTCAAGATGGGCTCTGCTTCTGCCACAATGTGACCAGTCTGTTCGAGGCAATTGGAATCGCCTGTAACCAGAATGAGTGGCGCCTCTTCATTGACAGCTCATCCAGGAGCCTCAAAGCCGTGCTGCTCCATAATGGTAACAAGTACCCGTCTCTTCCCCTTGCTCACTCGGTGCACCTCAAAGAAGATTACAACAGCATCAAGACCTTGCTGGACGCCTTGAAGTATGATGAGTACGGCTGGGAGGTCATCGGAGACTTCAAAATGGTGGCATTCCTGATGGTTCTCCAAGGCGGTTTTACCAAGTTTCCCTGCTATCTTTGCCTTTGGGACAGCAGGGATACCAAGGCACACTACCACAGGCGGGACTGGCCACAGCAGACCGAGTTCTCTGTGGGGAGGAACAACGTCAAGTGGGAGCCACTGGTGGACCCCCGGAAGGTGCTGATGCCACCACTGTACATCAAATTGGGCCTTATGAAACAATTTGTCATAGCTGTAGATAAGGAGTCGGCAACCTTCAAGTACCTTCAAGACTTCTTCCCTAAGCTGTCTGCGGCAAAGGTCAAAGCCGGTGTCTTTGTCGCACCACAGATAAAGAAGATCCTGGAGTGCAATGAATTACCCAAGAAGCTCACTAGTAAAGAAAAAGCGACTTGGGACAGCTTTGTTGCAATGGTTCGTGGCTTGCTGGGCAATCACAAGGTCTAAAACTATGTGGAGCTGGCTGAGACTCTGGTGAAGAATTACGGCACAATGGGCTGTAGGATGTCCCTGAAAGTCCATATCCTTGATGCTCATCTCGACAAATTCATGGAGATCATGGGCGAGTACTCGGAGGAGCAAGGCGAGCGCTTCCACCAGGGTATACCGGACATTGAACGCCGCTACCAAGGACAGTATAACGAGAACATGATGGGAGACGACATTTGGGGGCTGATTCGTTAAAGTGATTTACAGTATAATCGTAAATCTCGCAAAAACTACTCACTTCTAAATCTTCTGTAGTCATTTTTATCTTACTTTAGAATAAATACATGTAAATTTTGATTCATGTTAAATTTCGATTTAAAGCTTTCGTGACTGCAGGGATTCATCTTCTTGGTTCTTTCGGTAAAGTCACGTAGAATGGAAATAAAATAATAAAAATAAAACATGATTCATGTTGGTTTTTCCTGACTTTATGTGAACGAAAAGACACAAATTCGCCCGTATTCTCATTGAAAATAGGTGCACTTCAAAATATCACTGTCCTGGTCACAAAAGCAAAGTTTGTGGGGAATAATAGCCATTTGCTATACTTTTTATGCATAAGCAATTACGAAATAACAATCCAGGAAGAAGAATGGTGTTCCATCGTGTTATATGACGCTCCCGGAAAGTAAGACGCACCAAAAATGTCTTCCTCGTGCCAATGAAGTTACGACAAATCTGGTTTTCGCAACACACAAAGAGTATATACAAAGATCCCTCTTATAGCTTCAACAGACTGTTGCGACAAGTGCTGTTAGCGAGCATGCACCTATCAAGTGGGTGGCAACCAACACCACGCCCGGCCGCCTTTGTCTCCCCAGTGGCGATCCTTAACGCACCGCACCGGGTACTCATTTGAGTCCGATTTGACCTTAGGAGGAGGGCCCCAGAACCGGTTCAGATAACCATCACCGGTGGTGTTGTGCCGTGAGCGGGAATCGAACCCGGGTCGCCGGGTTCGTAGCGCAGCGTAGCCCTAACCGCTACCCCCATTACACACACACATACCGGATTATAAGACGCACCCCCCCAAAAATTTTACCTTCAAATACAGCGGGATCTGGGAGGGTTGGGGTGGAGGAATAAATGAAAATCGTCAAATGTGGAGACTACGGTAACAGCGCACGCGTGCGGAGGCTACCCCCCCCCCCCCAAAAAAAAAAACCACAACCGAATCCTTACCCTGCCTTGGCCGCGCTGAAGAGGTTTTTTCGAAAGACGGCGTGGGGATGATGATGATGCCCTCCCCCCGTACACTCCGAGTCTTCGCAGCCAGCAGTCACCACCACGCCTGCGTTGACCGCACCTGGCCGCTCCGTCAGCGGCGGGCGAGGATACGGACCCATAACGCTCGGTCCACACTCGCGTAGTTCAAGCCAGTCAGCTCACTCGGGAATCGCACCCTTCGGGTAGTTCACGAAGCTTTGCCGGGCAACGTCTCTCCTGGATTTACAATACCCGTGACGACCTCCTACTCCCACTCCCGCGCTGCGGTGCTGTCGCTCACCTGCGCCCACACACGCGCACAGTTGCGCTCACACACGCGCTCACCTGCGCCCACACACAGCAACACCTGCGCTCACACACAGCAACACCTGCGCCCACACACAGCAACACCTGCGCCCACACACGCGCTCACCTGTGCCCACACACGCGCTCACCTGTGCCTACACACAGCAACACCTGTGCCCACACACAGCAACACCTGCGCCCACACACAGCAACACCTGCGCCCACACACAGCAACACCTGCGCCCACACACAGCAACACCTGCGCCCACACACAGCAACACCTGCGCTCACACACAGCAACACCTACGCCCACACACAGCAACACCTGCGCTCACACACAGCAACACCTGCGCTCACACACAGCAACACCTGCGCCCACACACAGCAACACCTGTGCCCACACACAGCAACACCTGTGCCCACACACACAACACCTGCGCTCACACACAGCAACACCTGTGCCCACACACGCGCTCACCTGCGCTCACACACGCGCTCACCTGCGCCCACACACAGCAACACCTGTGCCCACACACACAACACCTGCGCCCACACACAGCAACACCTGTGCCCACACACACAACACCTGTGCCCACACACACAACACCTGTGCTCACACACGCGCTCACCTGCGCCCACACACAGCAACACCTGCGCTTGAGTGCCGCCTAAACCCAAGTCGCGCGGCACCTTTGCGCCCCTCCTATCCTGCTGCCTTTTGTCACCACATTGTGTGCTGCCTACGTATCAAACGCGTATCGTTGCCGCTCACTTTTTTGTCGCAAAGTTGCACACCTAAGCTGCCCCCACCCACACCACCCACCACCCTCCGAGTGTCACATTCGCGTTAAGGCTCCACGCGTCAGACTTGCACAAAATGTTCTCTTGCCCGCGTCCGTGACGCCTACTCGGGGTCCTATCCACCACCACCAACCAACACTACCACCACCACTTCCCTACTGAGCTCCGTGACTCGTCCCATTTGCCGTTCGAGGTGGGGTCGGGGTGGGAGTTGTGGAGGAAGTCTCTTTATTTAATTAATTATTTCTTACGCTATACATTTGGAGCGAGGCAGGTCGAGTTGGGGGGGTGGTGGTTGTGGTGCGCTGCCTTCTGCACGTGCAAGCCACGTGGCGGCGCTGTGGAGAACCCGACAACAACAACGCGCAACAGCGGCTCGTGGACGTTGAACATTGTGATATTTAAATGCACGTCCTTCCGCTATCCTTCGACACGCCCGCGTCCAATTGTTTCCTTAATTAATGGACAATTAAACAATCGACCGACTGCGGCATGGGGGGTGGGTGAAGTAATTCTTCTACCCCCACCCCCGCTCCACCAGAGGAGGTCACGTGGGGCCATCGCCGCCTCCCCCCACCCCGCGAGACCGCACCCGACGGCTGGTGAGGCCAAACCATTCGTCACCGACTCCGTAGGGGGGGGGGGGAGTTGGCGTGGTTTGCCTTGTAACGCTCTTCAGTCATCATCGCGTGAACGTGCTCGCGGTAACGTTTTGAAAGTAAATACGCTACCAGTTTAGTAAGCGCTTACGCGTCGCTTTGAGCTGATGTTAAAACGATAGTCTTGTTCCGTTGAGTGATTACAGTTAGACTCCGCCTACCCCCCCCCCTTGTGGGTCGTGGCGCAAGAATGAACGACGCCGCGCATCGCGATTGGACGAGTTGAAGACCAACGGCGTTGGGGGGGGGGAACAATTTGAATAGGCGAGAGGAGATGGTGCTCGCTCGTCTACACAGGGAACATCGTTACGGGTGCACGTGTGTGTATATAAAGGACACTAATCTAGATACACTGCGGTAGATTGGGACGCGATTCTAGATTTGGGGTTGAGGTAAGTTGTAGAGTCACGGCGCAAGTTGAGGGGGCATAGTCGCTTGACGAGGGTCACAGTGCGGTTATTAGGGACGGTTATATAGGAACGCCCGTGCGGTTAATGAGAGCGATACATCTGGGGAATAGAACCACAAAGTTTGAAGAATCGCGACATGCCGGTCTCCAGGTCACAGAGGAAGAGACTGAATTGCAGCGCGGGTGAGTGACTTGTGTGTCGGCATCGTGACACGGTTATATTAATGTAGTTACACATTGAACGTTTTTTTTTCTTTTCAAACAGGACCGAAACACGTGTAAAAATAAAAATGAATGTGCATTTTGACCGCAATGTTCTAAAGAAGTGCATTCATTTTGCGTAGTGTAGTTCTTCAGAAACTTTTGATGTTTTTTTTGCGTAACGAATGTGCAGTGTTCCTGTTATGACGGTGGGGGTGTTCTCACAGTCTTAATCCGTGTAAACATTTGAATGTTACACTTGAATTTGTCTTGTTACATTTTACCGTGTGTGTGTGTTTTGTCTAACGATCTCTCCTCTGTCTCTCGGGGCTCCGTTGTGGGCAGCAGAGAGCAATAGCAGCAAAAACCCACTGTTGTACCGTACTTGTGTGCTCCCACTTTCACCAAACCTCTACTGCTGAAGTATGTTTAACACGTAGGCTTTCGCGACCAATATCATCCATAATAGAGGTTTTTTTGGGGGGGTTGGATCGCGTATAAATATATAAATGTCTCGTTAAAACCCGCCACCACCCGACACAGCCAACTAGTAAGGGTTGTCAGAAGCGCCTTTACATAAGGAACGAAACGAACTTCTCCACGAATCTGGCTGTCGCCTGATGAAGCTAGTTGTAATTAGTGGCGAAACGTCGTACTCGGATTGTAAATGTTGTGGCTTGGCTCTCCAACACACCGGTTAGTGCTGTACTAGTGACGAATTGGCCACGTTCTGTTTACGTGACAAACCTTGCTGGTTGGCTGTGTCGGGTGGTGGCGGGTTTTAACGACACATTTACGCGATCTAACCCCAAAAAACCTCTGGATGGTGAAGTATGGTCAAACCACAGGCATGGAAAGAGGCCTTCGTCCAATTGTGGATTGACAAAGGACCTGAATGTGCGTGTAGGTAGTAAACGTTTTGACCACCCAGAAAGAAAAAAAAATCTCTCCTGGAGTCTCGGGACTGGTTCTCAGGAGGTGCCCTGCCACATTGGCTATGTTTGTCAATTCCCATTCATGAGAGCCTGGGTTCGTGCGAGAGGAAACTGGAGAACTGGAGGAATACCCCGGTGTTGGTGGTATTCGGAACGAGGGTGCGGGTATTACTTCAAAGCTCCACACTGATAGATGCAAGAATCCATTGCTGTCCTGTACTTCTCTTTCCTGACCAACTCGAAGCCTGGTTTTCCCAGGGTGTCTCCCATAAAAGTACTAGCCAGCATGAAACCTGCATAACGTCAGAGATTGAGTGAGGTCGGGGTACCGTCGAGGGCGATTTGATTTGCATCTTCTCTACAAACACCGTATTCTCCAGATGTACAAGACTCACTCTTTCCCCGCCTGTACTTTAAATCAATGGTTTGGAGTGCGTCTTATAATCCGGTGGGTGTATGAGAATCTGTATACTGTACGTACTCTATGTATATAGTGATAACGGGCACAAGTTTAGTGGTGTGTACCGTGCTGAATTATGATTCGGTCATGGCCATAGAGAAACTCCAGAATCGGAAGCTTTATTTAGACTGGAGGATTCCGATGAGCTATGAAGCTCTTGGTTTTTTTTCACAGATGTCCAGTAGGCAAGTTACAACAATAAAAATAGTAGCGTTACAACAATATAAATAGTAGCGTACAATAGAGAAAAGGCACGTCGCTAAAACTAAATAAACATAGCTCGACCAGTAGAGGGCAATACTGCTCAACGGATGGAATTTATCTGCACTGCTTTATTAGCCCCAGACCCGGGGGGCAATTGCAAATTGTTATCGTGTTAATGAATTTGCTATGCCAGTGTGATTTGAATTTAAATTTCAGCTAACAATGCTGTCGTGATTTCAATTATAATTGATCCCAGGTCTGCTGAGCTACCACAGCTTGCCTAGCTGCGATGCTAACGATGGAATACTTTTAATATGTTGTGTGACTGTGGGATCAGCGCTTGTGAAATAACGTTTGGAAACCTAGAAGATGTTATAAGGCGTGACATATATGCCGATTTAAACACAAAAAGGTCGAGACTGGTTTAGATTTAGTATTCTTACATGCTGCTGGAAAATGTTGACCTCCAAAGCCAATGATAGGCCAATTTGATTGAGACACACTTATATTTATACTGAATGTGGAGACGGAAGGTGGTTCCGCTTATCCATGTTTTCACTATTTCCATGTGATATTCTGCACACATCCTGATCCACATGAATACTTTTTAGAAAGCGGCACACTTTTTTGTTACATACACTTTCACTTTTGCCTACACAAACGACAAAGTAAACGCTTGCTTTGCAAATTGTCCTAACTATAATTTGATGGGAGTTCAACTTGTTTTTTATTTGCGAAACGGCACGGTTAAGATTGCGCTCACAGAACGATTAAGCCAGCCAACGACTGTTGGCTACGCTGCCGTGAAACCGCTGCACTTGCAAATCGTGCACACATACGTCACCGGCCTGAGAAATGTGCACCGCACATGAGCTTAAAGCGAGTTTCAACACGTCACCTGAATGTCCACAGCGCCAGTGCATTGTTCCCTGCCTGGACTTTCGAAGTTACCGACGTTAAACGTCTCACAATTCCTTTTCAACGACCGCTAAAAATGTCCGTTGCCGGTTCTCCCACGACTCGCGCAGAGCCTCCGGGGTTGGTGATGGAAGTGAAGCCCAAGATGGGGAGAAGGTCTGTCGCTGCTGCCGCAGCAGCTCCCAGGCATGGCAACGAGTCAAGCGGCAACGTCAACTCTTGCCTGGTATGAGACAAACACCTTGTTAGGCGTGAGTAATGTGGCTTCTTCCCACCACGGTGTGTAGGCGTGGACCGCTCTTATTACACGGTGCAGGGTATCATCATTTGACACTGATTGTGGTTGTGGATGGTCGTCGGCTAGAATTGTGTGATGGAGAAAGGTGTGGACCGATTTGGCAGCAGTTCCATGAAAGAGCCGTTTGGTTTGTCATCATCGTCATTAACTTTTATGTGTAACCAGGTAAGAGTCTGCTAAGACAAACTATCTGTGATAAAATAGCAATAACAACAGTGTACAATTTTGACGTAAATAATACAATAACAAAAACCAATGGTAAAACAATAAACTTTCAATTTTGATTTAAAGCTTTCGTGACTGCAGTAATTCATATTCTTAGTTTTTTCGGTAAAGTCACGTTGAAGAGAAACAACAAAATAATAAAATATATATAAAACAATAAAAAATTCTCACGACGTTTCGACCATAACTCAAACGGTCGTCTTCAGGTGTGTTGGTTCGCATACATTTATTTTTAAAATCTGGCTTCCATGAGAGATTCGTTCATGAGGCTATCCACATATACAAGCACAGAGACAATTTCAACCGAGAAGATGGATTCTATCTTAGCAATCATTGGAAAGATTTGATAAACCATTTCAGGTCTTAATTGATTGTTCACGCTTACAGTGGCTTTCAGACAGCATACATTATAAAAAATTTCGTCTCCCCCCTCCTCTTTTCAGAATATAGATGGACTAGTCCTGGGTAAACTGCCAAATCGTTGCGCGTGGCGCTAACGTTTTTTATAAATAAATAAATGCGCCGTTTAAAAATAAATTTATGCGAACCAACACACCTGAAGACGACCGTTTGAGTTATGGTCGAAACGTCGTGAGAATTTTTTATTGTTTTATATATATTTTATTATTTTGTTGTTTCTCTTCAACGTGACTTTACCGAAAAAACTAAGAATATAAATAAACTTTCAGTTGAACTTCATATTTTCTTAAGATACGTTTCTTAAACGAGATATTAAAACTTTTATTTCGAAAGCACGAACACGCAAATTGGCGAGGGCAATATTTCACGTAAAAACATTGGATGGGATGGTTTAAAACGGTGAAAATTGCAAACATTTTCCATGTATAAGGTGCTTAATCGTAGAAAGAACAGTTTCCAAATGTAGTGTTTACTCTACGGAATTTTTAAGCACGTCTCAATTTGCGAGCAATAAAATCTGGAAACAAACCAGACCGGCACAAGAACAGTAAGATGCGTAGTTGTCGTCTCTACATTCGAAATAATGCTGAGTGTAATACGGCGATGTTGTCACCTAAAGTCGCTGTTGTATAAGTCAAAGGGAAACCACTTCAACCTTCGTTCTGAAATTATTTCTCAAGATCACCGGTACGGGGTGCAATGTTGCGAGTTGCAGAGTGTGCGGCATGGGGATTGGAGGGGAAGGAAGGAGCTTGAGCCATGCACCTGCCCTTGGACCAATGACTTGAGGGAAAGATTCACTTGTTAACCTTCTTTATTTACTTTTCGCAGCCCAATAGAGTGCTGAAGGTTCAAAACATCAACACGGACCTCAAGCAGAGGGAGACGGACAAGGAGGTAAAAAGTCGTGTGCCCGTCCAATTCGTTTCACCCTTGCCCCCTCGGGCCAATCGACCGAAAAGTGGATGCCCGGTAACCGCCGCCAACGCCTCTCGTGCCTTCACAGACGCGCCTGTTGGTGAAGCAGTGCGCCGAGACAGAGCGCCGTCTGCGTGCCGTGGAAGCGGAGTTGCGCAAAGCGGAGGAGAAGCTGCAAACTGGCGCGCGTGAGCGCAATGCCCTGACGACGCGGGCGACCACCGCGGAGAAGCGATCTACCGAGCTCCAGAGCATCAACGACATGCTGCGGGCTAAGGTGAGCGGGCTCTGCTGCTGCTGCTGCGAGCGGCACTGAACACCCTCGCACTGAAAGGGTCGACCCAGTGGTTGGCTTGTGTTATCACCTTAATTTGCAAAACTCCAAGGTGGAATTTATAGCCTCCTCAACCTGGACATTGAGCCATCACCTTAGGTCACTCATACTTGCTTGGCATCACTTTCAGTTGTCTTGCAACATATAAAACCCCTGCATCTTAACAGGTTTTAAAATGACTTGTACATTTCACATTAAAACACAGAAACATTTATCTTGGAATTCTAAGCCGTGACAAACGCAGGTTGCACTTCAGGGAATGATCTTCGTCGCTGTGACTGATATCTGCTTGGGAAATTCTCTGTCCATGTTGAGATCACCATCATTGTATGCATCTTAAACTTATTTTCGCATCATACGTTGCCAACCGTGTTAATCATTATTATCCGCCATGGTCAATCGAGCCCTGGATCAATGCCTCCTCTAGCCGCTTACCATTCCTCACGATCCTGCAACGTAAAATTTGGATCGTAAGTCGTATTCTTGAATCGTGTCGGCAGTCTTCTTTTTCATATGGCTGATGTTGATGCAGAGCAACGACTACAATTTCACATTCGGGTGGTCAAACTAGATAAGTGTCGGCAGCCTCGAAGCTGATCTGGCAACAATTCGGAAAAAACACCCTTCTATTTTAACTTTTGACGCGGTGTCTTAGTGCATCACCTGTTTCAACGACTGGCATCGTGGCACTGTTGCTGTGCTTTGTGTGCACCTGACTCCACAGTTCTCGGGAGATGAGCTGAAAAGCGAACTTTGCAAACTCCGCTTGGAAATGGCGGAGCTGAAACCAAAGCTGGAGAGTGTACAGCAGGTGACTGTCTGCTTCCTGCGTGTTCACCGCTTATTGGACCTCGCCCATTGCTATCGCACACATGCAAGTTTAGTGTTAGCTTCTAGTAAGTTAAGTCACAAATAAATAAATGTGTATACTAATCCCGAATGAGGGTGATCGTATGATTTTCAAAATATGGCTTATTTACGGAATGAGTAAATGGTGTGATGCAAACACATGACACTGAATGCACCATCACCACAAAGGTTGGACGCGTAATTTTTTTCTCAATTACAGTTCTAACTGGTTGACATGCTTTGCCCCAAGTAAAAGCGACTTAATGATTATACTGATGATTACCCGCATCTCTTAAGTGTCTGAAACATACATCTGAAATTGTGGAACTGCCCAATCATTAAAAGATTTACCCCCCATCCCTGACGATTCTATAGATTGTTGCAATTAAGGGCAGTGATTCATTCTCAATGTTATATTTCTTGCAGTAAACGATAGGATCGCAAGTGGCTGACGGAGAAACTATTACAGACTTCTCCCTGTGAAACTTAGCGCTTTCCTTCATGATGGCCTTGCACTATAAGAATGGTGCGAAATAACCAAATGTACCATATTATTACAATTTTGATGAAGGTATGGCGAGCTGAGAAATTTATAAATTCGTGCGTAATTCCACCCTTGCCAGTCGGCTGTTTTGTTGTCGCTTGAGTCCATGCTCATGGCCAACACCAAGTGACGATTATCTGAACCGGTCCTGGGCCTCCCCTAGGTCGCTTCAGCCTCAAATTAATATCTAGTGCAGTGTATAAAACATCGTCACGAGGGAGACAAAGGTGGCCGTGCATGGTGTTGGCCACCCACCCCCTCGTGTGCATTACCGGCCTTCATAGGTATTCGCTAACAGCACTTGCCCCAACAGTCTGTTAAGGCTATATGGGGGGATCTTTGTTTTTTTATGTGTCTTTGTCTCTACAGGAGAAAGAGCAGATGAAATGTGAGTTTGAGGAGCAAGTGAGGACCTTGCAACTGAATCTACAGACATCCCAGACAGTCTTCGAATACCTGAAAGGTAAGGTGTATATTCCCTCCCACAGGTTGGTGTTGTAATAGATTGCTTTTCATATACATTCACATAGTTCTAATGATAAGTCTAATATTTATATACAAGCTCTTTTGTCAATCTACTACTTAATGCTGTGTTGGTTGAGGGTTTGTTTAACTATACTTCACCATACTGGGGCATGACCATCTGGGGTATCGCAGCCACCAATGTTATTCGTTGCCGAGAATTGCACTTGGGTCACCAGGTTCAGATGTGTAAATATAAATTGGAAGGAGTTGGCAATTTATGAAAAAAATATAGCACTTTTATTAACCCGTAATTTTTCAACTTAATACAAAGCCTGGAAATAATTTTTTATTTATCAAACAGAGGACCCAAATGACAACTCAAAATCGGATTTGACGGATCGGCCGTTGGGGGGCGGCGATCCCAGCAGCCACGCGCAGCCGCCCCAAATCCCCGCAGCGCAGAGCGGCGCAAACGCGCGGCGCGACGGAGAAATCTCCACCCTCCGGGTTCAGGTCCAGCGCCTCGAGAAGAAGCTCCCGTCTCTCTCCAAACGTGGGCCGGGGCGCGGCGCTGTCGCTCGTGAAGTTCCCATGGAGTGCGACGAGCCCGGGGCGCGTGCTGGCGAGGATGCGGCGGCGACGACGGAGGAGGAGGAGGAGATGGCAATGCTGCCGCTGGAGGGGCCCGCGCTGGAGCAGCAGCTGTCGGGCCTGCTAGAGGAACGGGTGACCATCGAGCAGGGCCTGCGAGCGGTGCTCGCCGACGTTGAGCACCTGCAGCGGGGAGATGCGCGGCTGGAGGAGCTCGTGGAACGCATGGACAGGGACGTGCGGGAGAAGGACGATGAGATTGAGAAGCTGAAGGAAGAGCTGAACAGGTGAAACTAGTTTGGGATTCTGTCTTTCACGTCAGGTTAAAGTGTGCTTTTACAACCATGCCGACTTAAAAGTATGCTTGGCTTTTAATTTCCTACGAGATGAGGTGCATTGATTGGGTTACAGGAGTACACCCTGTCACCATACTTCGTATGTATGGATGTTGAACTTATTTTGCACCGTACGTAGCCAACTGTGCTAATCGGTGGCGATGGTGGGACAACTTGGCTCATCGGCTCGGTTCTATCCGATTTTTTTGTTTGTTCATTCAACAACAAATCGTAATCGACTAACTTTGCCACTGATTACTTACGCACCTTTTAAAAATTGCAGCCGCCCCAGAGCCAGAAAACCCCTCTCGAAGCCACACCCAGCTGCACGCTGCTGATGGTGCCGATGAAGTTTCCCAAACCCCCGGCCATTGTCGCCCATCCAACGGTGCACACATGATGTCAGATCTTTTTTCAGCCCTGCCTCCCAACAATTGAAGCGATATTTGGTGGAGTAATCGATTTTACTTAAATATTCTGAAAGCCCAGCTCAAGACTTGCGGGGTCCTTGTCCACAGCATGAGGGAGTCCGCAGAGGAGCAGAGGCAGTGCCTGCAGGAGCGAGTGGAGGCGCTGGAGCGGGAGGTGGCCCAAGGGCAGAAGAGAGCGCCCCCAAAGACTCCACGCCGGCGCGTGACGCTGCTCGCAGCCGAAGCCGGAAGCGAGCTCGCCAGGTGACCTCTGCCTGCCGAGCAGGCGCGACCCCTTGCGTGGGGTAACATTTCAATAACATGTATAACGTTATAATGATGTTCAATGTAGTTTATGCACGGGCGACAGGCGGAATGCTACATGGGGGGATCGTGAGAGGCGGCGGCGATGGGGTGGTAAGGCCTTCATCCAGCAGTGGATTGACCATGGCTGATAGTGATGTCGTAGCCTCCCCCGCGCCATGCGCATCCTGCGGGTTTTCTTTCATCACCGTTGCTTTTAGCGCAGGCCCAAAATCCAAAAATGTCAAGCAGCGAGCAACAAACAGGACTTGTTGAAGGTGTAACAGATAAGAGTTAATATATTTCTTGAATTGAGCAAGGGTTGGTAAAGGCAGAGAGCATAGACCTGAGTATATAGAAGTACAGTGCAGCGATATCTTTTTTTTTGCACTACCCTAGAACAACAACAAACCTGTTTTTAAGCACGTTGACGCTCCGTCCGAGCAATTTATAGGATCCAACCTGCTTGGCTTTGAGATCTGGCGCATTCCGGGCAATTTGGTCACAGGCTTAACCAACAAGCAAGTCATTAACAAGACTCAAAACAATCACTCGGCTTAGACGCGCGACGGAGATCATCCGTTCAGCTAGCAGCAGCTGGTTTGCGACCATTGACAACGGTCCCGTCGCTCGTGGCCCACCACAGAAACGTGGAGAGCATGGAGAGCAAGCTGACGCAAATGGTGGCCGAGATGAGCGCCATTCACCAGGCGTACAGGGAGCAAGTCGGGGAACCGCCGCTGCCCGCGGCTGCCGTCACGAGGGCCCAGTCGGCCAAGCCGCAGGGCTCCTCGAGCGCTGCCAAAGACGAGCTCCTGCAAAAAATTCCGCTACTGCGGAGCGCAGAGTGAGTAAGCCGTGTGCCTTCTCCGCACGATTAAGCCCGTTTGCCTGCGACCCGCTGCGACCCCCTGTGGGTTGGGTAACTGCCTCTGTTGTCAATCCACTGCTAGACCTAAAGCCTCCCCCCACCCCTCCCCCACTACAACGTGCTGGTCGTTGGGGGGGCGTTGTTCAACCATATTTCACCGCACTGGTTAGTAAAGCTGATTTTTCAGGTGTCGCTCAGTGTTAATAGTAGCCATGTCCGGGAATTTAACTCTGGTTGCCAGGCTCATAGCAAAGTGTGCTAATCAATGTGCCACCATTGAATTGCTTCACTTGCACAACGTGTACAAAGGGAAAATTATTGATTCTTACACGCACGATTCACTACCTATGCCATTTAATGTACAATAGATGCATTGTTAAATGCCCATTTTTTTATACGGTACAATTATGTCATGAGAGTGAACTAAAACAGTAAAAGTTACTTTAAAGTATATTTTTTCTCATAAACGAAGCTGCAACGACCCATGTTGGAGAGCCCTGGAAAAGCTCAAAAAGCTTCCTATTTCGCCGGATTTTCCTTCATAGATTAATAGACTGCATGAGACTGAACAGAAGCGTTGTGTGCCGTGCTTCCGCGTGCCTTGGCAGGGCTGAGAACAAGGTGTCGTCGGAGGCCATGCAGGAAGAAATTCTAAAGTGGAAAAAGATGTACGACAAGAGCGGATCCAGGGTCTTCAAGGTAAATTGCTTCGCTAGCGATCATGTGGCCGGGGGTGAAAGAAGCTCGGCGTGGTGGCATGAACTTCTAATAGAGGGCTTTGAACAACAACAACAAAAAACTTAAATATTTTTATTTTACCAGGTAAGGCCCACTGAGCTATATGGCTCTTTTTCAGAAGCAACCTGGCCACAAAAGACAGCTCGATGAAGTGGTGGCTACTTTGAAAATGTATTGGAGCCAAATACTCTAAAAAAAAAAAACGCAGGACCCGGAGATTAAAATCCACACGACCACGGGGAGAACATGCAAAATCCAAATATACAGGCGTCAGGGTTGGGATTGAACCCACTACCTCCTGCACACCAAGCGAGGTATTTAACATCTTGCCACTATGGCGCCCAATGAAAGTAAGTGCAGTAGAATCGTGAAACTCAAACCGCTGGGCGATGAAGTTGCCAGGAGATGGCAGTACAGAATGGATTTGCGAACCTTGTAGTTTTCAGAGGTTTGATTCGTCACAACTCGTGTGTGGGTTTTCTCAGGGTACTCCTGCCGGCATGCAGACCACTCAGTTCATGGCCAAATAAGAGGAATATGGCCCAATATTTCAATGCAGAGCCCTCCTGAAAAACAGCGTCTTTAGACTTGCTGAGAATTTCTTGTATAAATACAGTACATTATCAAACATCAACTCTGCTTTAGATAGGAGCAATGCTGTCATTGTAAATATGAGAGATGCATCTCCCAACACTGCACAATCCACAACGTGTGGAAGCACTGGTGTAGTAAGGCGTTTCGGCCAATTAAAGTGTTGTTTTATATTTGGGAGGAAACCGGAGCATCCAGAGAGATACCCACATGTGCGAGGGGGAAACACTATCCCATACAGATGGATTTTAGTCTGCACTTTACTGTACCGCAATTGTCCCTGGTAAGCCAAGGTATGGCAACTCGATGCCCACGTGAAGGGAGTTTCACAGCATTTGTGTGATCCATCAACAACCCTCGCCTCCAGTGCTGGCTTACAGGCGTGCACCACCACCAGGCTAGGTTGTGCTGTGGAGTGAAACTGGGGGGGTGGGGGGTGCTGTAGAGGCGTTTAGCTGCTCACTGCTTTCATAGTCAACCTTGCCATGGTACTCCCAAGTGCACTGACATTTATATATCTAAATCAGCTCAAGCCTCCTGCAAATCGCATTATTTTTGTGTGGTCACCCCCACTCTGAATCCCTCCTCTCTCCCTGTCCCCTGTGAAAACAGATGCCGCTCCGTGCAGCTCACTTCTGCTTGCTCCTTCTCTCCCTCTTCCCTCGCCTCTCATCTCCTGACATCTTGGCCCAGTCATTCCTTCTTCCTCGACGTGCCTTCTTTCACCCTGCTGCTCATCTTGAGCCGTGCACTCTCATTCCTGGGGTGTGTCACGTGTAAGAGGTTTTCTTGATCAGAAGGTTGCCCCGATTATATTTCGATGCATTTGTATGATAACTATTGTGCTAAACGGGCGCTCGTGCACAACAGCCACTGCCTGGCCCGAGTTTAATTCCCGACTACAATTTACATCGATGGCAGTTATCTGGATTTGTCCTGGGCCAACCCTAAGTCGACTCCACTTTAAATGAATACCTGTTGCCATGTGTAAAAAAAAAAAAAATTGCACCGGGGGTGACCAAGGCAGCTGATCCGTGGTGCTGGCCAAACCACTTGCTCATAATCAGAATCTTTATTTAGACTGAAGGAATCGAATGAACTAATGAAGCTCATTTTCACAAATGTCAAGTCGGTTCATTGATGTCAAACCAGCTTCCATATGTGATTGTGAATAGTATTTGCCCTGCACATGCCATAACAGTCTGTGTAGGCTATATATAAGGAGTATTTGTCTTTTTTGTGCATTCCCGCAGGTCGCCTCTCCACTGCTTGGACGCCTGTCCAGGCTGCGTCTGACAGATCGGCGCCACCGCAGCTTCTACCCGACCTTCGTCGACGAGAGCTCGAACGCTGCCGGCAAACGCTCCGCAGCTACTCCCGCCATGTATGGCTTCACTGGGGCTAACCAACTCAACAAGCAGAACATGTTTCTGTAAACAAGAATTAAACAGCCAGCTCGGTGCTCTGACGTCTGAGACACGTGGCCACCTTCTTTATTAACTCATTTGTACAAGTCTGTCTTGTATAAACGTCGGAATAGCAAGTTGTTGTTGGAATGCACATGTCGCGCACTGTTCCGTGGGGTTTTTTTTACTTGCATTAAATAACAATATTTTTCTGTAACTTCAATTGTGTGCTTGTGGGATTTTTTCCCCCATCTTTAATCTGTATATCAACGCTGCGGGGCCGGGTTGAGTGGTTGGCATGAAAGTACTTTCCTCGAAGGGTTTTTAATAATTGAATGCATGCGCTTTTTGCGGTTAGCTGTTCAGTATCCATTTGGATTGTCGTTTGCTCAATATGCACCCACAATATGTTGCAAGTGCACGTCAGATTCTACAATGAATTTTCTGTAAGGACTGCATGATTGATAAATGATACTGTAATATGTCCGAATCTACTGCTGGATGAAAGCCTCCCCGTGCTGTGTTTATCACATGGGTTGATTGAACAAACGTCACTGATCAGTCCAGTAGTGCGGATTGGTGCAGTGAGGGAGGGGGGCCGAGGACCTGTTTAGCTATTATTTGTCACTGATGGTAGCCGTGATTTTGTACTCTGATCGCTGGTTTCACAGTGCAATGCGTTTTAACCATGGCGCTAACACCTCACAATTTTCTAAATGATAAGGATAAAATATAATGAAATGTGTCTTATGCTAAATGGTAATGTACATATATCGTTTTGTTAAACTGGTGTTGGGTTTCATGACGTCTGAATATGAAGCTGGTGTTGCTGCATCGCGTGACAATCGGTGGAATTTTAACTCGCCGTAAAGCAATCTGAACGTTGAACAAATATTTACACGTGACGTTTTTTACGTACTTTGCATCGCCGCAGACACTTAATGTAATGGAAAAGTGTGCATGGCTTGGCTTGTGTCAATGATTTAATTCCTTGTGTGTACGCACGGTGGGGTCACGAAGACCACGACGTCTCGCGTGACCCCTGTGGCTGCCGAATATTTTGCCATGGGGCGTTTAGTCCACGAACAACGCATTACTCTATACTGCATAGGCATTCGCAGTTATGCCGCGTGGCCGGCACTCTTGTATTTTTCGGATTGTAGCACACGTTTGGCATATATTTCCTGAAGCTCCCAGCACGTGGAATGAAATATCGGGACAGTAACAAATAACGCGTGGTACAACTCAAAAAAACACTTAGAACGAGACTATACTTAAAAATATATATTTAAACACCGGAGGGATGTTAACACAACTTTCTTGCTTATTGTGTCGAGGTGGGATCTGGGTTTTGCACTAAGTTTTTGTTTCTTATTACACTTCATTGTAATAAATATAATTGGCACATTTTGTATGTGTGTGTGCGGTCTTATTTGTTCACTTAGACGTGTCATTTGAGTGAAGGATCTATAGTAAAGGGGAAGCGAAAACCACAGCAGCAGAATAGCGATGAACATGAAAGCACCAGGGCAGAAACGAAGGCAGGCCTAGAAAGAGCTGGTTCCAAGTGGCGTGAAGGATTTGGGTGGATGTGGAGATGATGGCCTAGCACAGGACAGAATGGAGAGACTACATCCGTGGGGAAATTGCCAGCAATGTTGAGTGAACGTGTACGATATTTTCACTTGTCAGTATCGCCTGAGGTGGCATCACTCGTTAAAATGTCTTAAAGTGGCCAGGTGAATTGTGTGAGAACCATTCAAATACCTGCTTCACTCTTTGGTATTTAAATGGAAACTACGAACGTTTTGCTACCTCAGGTGATACCGACGTCTGCTTTGGCCCATGCACGCATTGTGAGCTTTAAATCGAAATTTAACCGCCTCTACGGGGAGGGATTCCACATAACCTTAAGATCCTTCAACAAACTCCGGGATAAGAAGGCTCAACTAATCGAGTCACCTTTCTGAAGAGATGCCGCGACTCTAAGGTAATACCAACCGCATTTACACTAACCTCTGCTGTTGTAACCTCTTTTAATGCAAAACGAATTCTAGCTAGAACTAGCTTGGCTCTTATCTCAGAAAAAATCAGACTTACACGCACCGAACTAGATCAGTTAGACAAGATACTCTACAAATCACACTTATCATTGACGGCAACAATGTCTACATCGGATTGGAAACATAGACAATATGACTGCCTTTTCAGCATCCACTATGTCGACCAAATGTAAGGACAATTTGATTTCCAAATTCAACCGCCTTTTCAACAAGAAATCGGACCCACACACCAAAAAGCTGGACGTTAACAAAGTCGTAATTAATCGCAGTAACAGTTCTATTTCTGACGGCCTGAAATCCGTTTTAGCTAAAGGTCTAAACTTTGCAGTCACACCGAGACACATACCAGTTAATGACATCATTGCCCATGTCGACGTTGCACTCAAGGGCCTGGGTCACATCGCTGCAGACGTAGCAAGATCTGAAATCGCTGCAACCCTCAAAAAGGCTAAGATGCCACCTCGCAACATCAGCAAAGATGAGCGCTTTGAATTAGCTCAATTAAAAAAGAGAGATGACATTGTCGTCCTCTAAGCCGACAAGGGCAATGCCACTGTCATGGACAAAATATAATATAACAACAAAATTCAGGAACTTCTCAACGATGGCACCTATACAAAATAAGAAGAGACCCCACCAACAGCCTGGTTACTAAAACCAACAAAATCATTTCTGATTCAACAGCATTAATTGATCAAACCAAACAGTTCTCGTTGAAACCTTCTGCGGCCAGACCACCAAGATTATATGGCCTTCCAAAGATACACAAAGAAGATACATCCCTTCGTCTCATCGTCTCCACTATCAACTCCCCCACCTACAAACTGGCTAGTTTTCTTTCTGATATCCTGCGACCTTTCACTGGAAAAAAACACCTCTGCGGTACTAAACTCTACTCACCTGGTATCGACAATCAAGGGTATTTCCCTGTCCCCAGACGGCCTGCTTGTCAGTTTTGATGTGGTTTCCTTATTTACCAAAGTTCCGGTACCTGACACCATCGCAATCATTGAAAACTTGGTTCATCAAGGACTGCATACTGATGTACCCCCCCTGGTGAGACATTGCTTAACCAACACATACTTCACCTGGAATGGAACTTTCTACAAACAGACTGAGGGCACCCCAATGGGCTCCCCCCTGTCTCCGGTTGTAGCCAACATATTCATGGAAAATTTTGAAACTGACGCCATCAAGACTGCCACTCTACGCCCGACCTTATGGAAGAGGTACGTGGATCACACTTTTGTCATCTGGCCACATGGCCAGCCTGCTCTAGACCAATTCCTCGACCACATCAATTCCATACACCCAGCCATCAGATTTCCCATGGAGGTCGAAAAAGATGGCAAGCTACCCTTTTTGGATGTCTTAATTAAAAGGAGACCTGATGATTCAATGAGCCACTCTGTCTACAGGAGAGCTACCCATACAGATGCTTACTTGAAACCGGATTCCCACCACCATCCATCCCAGAAGAACTCCCTCATCAAGACTCTATACCATAGAGCCCAATGCATTTCCGACCAGGAACACATTGCCAGTGAACTCAAGCACGTACACCAGGCTCTCAGGGCTAATAGTTACTCCGACTACACAATCCGCAAAGCCATCACTCCGGTCATGAAGAAGGATCCTCTTGAGGAGCCACTCAAAACCATCACCTTACCCTACATTGCAGGGGGCACTAAAAAGATCTCCAAAATCCTGAATAAACACAAGATCCAGGTCCGATTCAACACAGTACATAAAATCCATGATCTGGTTCCATCTGTAAAAGATGCTGTTCCAGAAATACAGTACCCGGGCATTTACAAACTAAAGTGCCTCTGTGGTAGCAGCTACATTGGAGAAACCAAACGACATATCTCGGACCGCATCCGCGAACATAAAGCAGACTTGAAACACGGTAGGACGAACTCCTCTGCCATGGCAGATCACTGTTATAATTCAGTGGGCTCACATGAGATTGACTTCTCCAAGACGGAGGTCCTTTGCAAGCCAACCGGCTACCATGAGAGATTCGTTCATGAGGCCATCCACATATACAAGCACAGAGACAATTTCAACCGAGAAGATGAATTATGGCTTAGTAACCATTGGAAAGATTTTTAAACCATTTCGGTTCTTAATTAATTGTCTTTTACGGTGACCTTCAGACCGCAGCTCTTTCGCTGGCATTGCCTCTTAATACCTCTCACACCACGGTTAATGGTATGGTTTATAACATGGAGTATAACAGCGCATCGTGGCTGTTTCTCTCCCCCCTCCTCCGTTCCGAGCATGGATGGACTCGTCCGTCTGAACGGGGCTCGTCGCTGTCCGTGGTGCTGGCGTTGAGGGGAAGAAACCGCCACCCATTTTTTCGCCATATGGCATTGTGATATATAACGACTTATTGTTGGTGGCTCAGCTGGTTGGAGAGTATATAGAGTTTATTGATAACATTGAGGTAGTTTATATTTTAGTTTTTTATTGGTTTACTATATGGTATTCATTATATAGTGTAGTGTATACCCAGTTGTTTTGTGTTAATAGCTCAGCTTATTGAAGAATATATTGAGTACATTTATTATATTGATGTAATTTAGACTTCGTTTTTTTCACATCGGTTTACTGTATGATAGTTGGGTAGTTGCAGCCCTTTAGCGTCCATATATCAAATGCCTCTGTTGATATGTAAACTTTGACTTTAACATAGCTATTTCTGTGACCAGTCACAAGCTAATCCCTCAGCTATTTCAATGCTAAATTCTCCTGTTTGATATGTAAACTCCTTTGTCAAGGCGCTTCACTTCTCTCACCTAGCTTAAAAGACGCTACGAATCTTAGCAGCGTTCATTGAAGCGCTGTCGTCCCGACAGTTCTGTTCCTTCACCTGAAGAAGGCTACTTGTGTTGTGGCCGAAACGTCGTGAGATTTTTATTTTATTTTATTATGTTTATTTTTTATTACTTTGTTTCCATTCTACGTGACTTTACCGAAAGAACCAAGAAGATACATCGCCCCCTACTGAGCAAACTTGGCAGGACCCCCCTTTAAAAAAAAGTCCGAATCGGTGATCCTTTCCTTCGTTAAAAAAATATATTGAATAATACATATTATTTGGTAGCCACTGTCTTTATACAGATACAGAGCCTAATCCCATCCCCACTGACTCATCCTCTCATTCTCTTGGCTGTTCACTGATGAGAACCGCCTGCTAAGTCCACTAAGCCCTGCCACTGTGCTGGTATTAAAGTGAACATCCTAAATATGCTCCTAGATTCTCATTTTTTTCTGAGTCCAGTCTGGAGACTCGAGAAACATTCAGCTGCGCACGTGGTGTGCCTTCTCGTGACTCTTAACACATTAAAACAGTTTCACGCCACATAACATGCTTACACACACACGTTGCAAGTAAATTTTGCATGGTCACCAAAATGCATTTTTTTAAACAAATAAACTAGAGCAATGAAGCAAATGGAAATCAGTGCAAAACAACTTTCGCACCCTTGACCGTTATTCCTGTGAAATGCTCTTTAACTTTATCAATTCAACATCATCCTGCATCTTTTATGTTAAAGTATAAAATAACGTGATGTGTTTCAGTACACGTGAAACAAACACAAACTATTATTGCACCGATTCCTCAAATCTCAGGGTAAATGGAATCGTTACACGGATCATCATCAACATCAGCCATGGCCAATCCACTGCTGGATTGAAGGCCTCCCCCACGCCTTGCGGGTAACGGTTATTGTTGTTGTTATTGTTGTTGTTTGACCATACTTCACCACGCCGGTCAATGTATAAATGAAGAGACAAAATTATTGCAGTCAGGCTGACCAATCGACCGTTCAGCAACCGTCGATCGCATCGATTCTCGTTGAGTTTCGCGCCAGAGGGAGTCGATTGCTCGCTCAACCCCCGGCCTCGCGTGTTTCCTGCACAGCGATATCGCGAACGCAGCCGCTACCGCTGCCGCTGCTGCTGCGTCGCCGCGATTCTCATCTAAACGCTCCATCAAAGCCCCCCGAAGTCGGCTCGCTCCGCCTGGACCGCGCAGGGAAACTCGTTCCGAGAGGCCGGCTACGTCTTCCCCCGAGACCGGTTCCCCGGGGGTAGTGGGCCGTGTCCACCAGGCGGCCGCCCGGCCGAGGTGTTCCGATTCCGGTAGAGGCGACCAGGACAGAGCGGGGGCTCATCCGCGGCCTACTGTTGAAGCCGCTTCGCGTGACTTGGTACGCGTAGAATGTTTTGCTTGTTATCGTAATCACCGCCAGCCCTAGACATTGTCTCTCCACTGCTGGATGGATGCCTTCCCACGTTCCTCACGGTTCAGTGCTGCTATCGTCCAAATCTCCGCGCATGAACTGAATGTTTTAAACGTGACCGTATTGAGATTGTTGTTTGTATAGTTTATGTCAAGGACACTTTAACTGTGTTAATCATAATACACTACTGTACCCGTTTCCACAATCGCCTCATTGTTAAGGTTTTATATTTGCCCTCATGTCATATCGAGGACGCGTACTCGTATGATAAATGCGTTTGCTTGTTATGCTCATAGTTTGAATTGTATGCGCGTTGAACTTCTTTCGCACCGTACGTAGCCAACTGTGCTAATCGGAGGTGTTATTGTGGTCGTTATAATTACGTCGATAACGCCTATCAATGTTTATTCTAGTTTTTTTTGTTATTTAGTTAATCTCAAAAACACTTAGCTACGGTGCCTTAATAGTTGGAATTAACGTTGCCGTTGCAGTCGAGAATATATTCGCCGGTATTGATCATCATTATAATTAATTGCAAGAACAGTTATATCATTGTTTTTCTTTTTGTTAATCGCCAAAACATTTACCAGTTATAGTGATTATAGTGGCTGTTGCTGCTTTGGCAGTACTGTACTGTGTAGTTGATCTCAAGGGGTCTTTGTGTTAATCATTGGTGTTGTTGGCTTTTAGGCTTATCGGAAGAACACTTAACGTTGTGAATCATTGTTATTATTGTTGTTTTTATAGCTTATCCTAAAGCCTCCATCAATATACATTTCTCTGTAGAGCAAGTGACGTTTCAATCTGTTTTATTTAATTAAAAACAATGTTGGGAAATCAATATACAGTACTGTAATGGATATGAATTCATACGCCACCAGTATTGTTTCGAATGAATGCGTTTAGGATGCATTGTCACGGCTGTCTGCTTAAAACGCTGCTCATAATTGTTTATAAACAGCTGTGGTCTTGTTTCTGTCTGTGTGTTAACCGCTAACGCGTGTGACAATCGACTTAAATGTAACGTGTGAGTTCAAATGTGAACGCGTGTAGAATTCGTGTTACATAACAATTACAGGACACGGCGAAGCATGGGGCAAATTCCTGTTCAAAACATCTGGTCTGATGCTTGTTCATCTGATACTATGTGCTCATCCTATTAGGCTAACATGTCTGGTTTAAATGGACACACGTTTCAGCACGTTCATTCGTAATCGTATTTAAGAGCAAAGGGTTTGTGGATTAGGAAGAGATTTGTGAAACTGCCAAATCTGCTGGGTTGCCATGTGACAAACAGGAAAATACATTGGCCAAAATACCAACACAAGACACGTCTTAAAAAGAGTTGATCAAAGCCCTTCCTGGATAAACAACTGATTGATATTCTTTACATTCTGCAGGTGACCTTGGAAAACATGTTGCAAGGAATCTCAAGGAGACAGCTAAAGTTCATCCGTAAAGTGTTCGCTGTTTGTCATCAAACGCAACTAAAAAGAACTTCTTACGGTATGTGGAAATTTTGCCGACAATAACTGTTCACCTGTCAGCTGTTTTGATCTCGGTTTACCTCGAATGATGTATATGTTTTGTTTTCTCATCAGCTGATGATTGGTGAATATGTAAGCGGTAAACAGTTGCTCTCGGCCACTTTTGTTGCTTTGTGTTTCCGTGGTCGTCAGACTTTGTTGGGGTTTGCATTGGTGGGCAGCGGTCTGCCCTGCAACCGCTGGTGCACTGCCTGGGGTGTGCCCGTTCCGGAGCCGTCACTCGGTTCTACAGCAGCGGTAACATCAGTCAAGGCGGCACCGACAAGGAGGGTGGAGGCACCAAGGAGACCGCTAAAAATGGTGCGACTACGGAAGCTGGAGCGACCATCAGGAAAGAAGCCACGTCACCACCAGACTCGGCAACTCAAGCTGCCACGACCAGGCCGCTGAATGGTAACGAGCTGGGAGTGCAATTGGAAAGACAGATGATAGATATTATTTGTTTGGGTAAAGGTTAAGGTACATCCCTGAAATTATTTGCTCATATAGATATCAATTGCCCTTCATGTTAGCATATGCTGGAAATGTAACCCAGGTCACCAGGTTCATAGTGCAGTCAGATATTCGTTATTTAAGCTGGTAAAAAGCCAATTAAGTTTGCAAGTACTTTTTTTCAAGAAGGCTTTAGGTAAAAATAGTTACGTCATAGAACACAAACTAAATCAAATGAACTACAGAGGAAAATGGAAATGAAAATGAAACAAAATGTATTAACTTCAATTAATACAATAAACCAGTAACAAGTTCTAAACATAAACATGAACATGACATTAAGGCAAAATGGAATGAGAAAAATGCAATTAAATTCCAGCAATGGAAATACTGTATAAATACGATTTACAGGTGCATTACAATAACACAAATGAAATAAAACGTTGAACATAAATAGGGTAGCTATTAAAGGCATTTGATTAGCTAATGTCAAAATGGAGTATAATTTTCTTTAAGAGCCATGCTAAATATGTGCCACACTTTGCCTGAAATAATGGACCCTTGTAAGAACTGGAATTGACTTGTTTTCCAAAGCTGTCCAATATCTAAAAGTCAGAATCTAGATTTGTATTTCGCATTGTCAGTTCACATCATTGTTCATCACAATACACATTTATCTTTTGTATTGTGTTTCACTGCATTGTGAAAATTATCATCTATTACATTTGCAACGAAAACAACATAGGCTAATTGTGTCCTACATGAAATGTTTGTGACAACGTTGCATTATTTTTCAGCAAACACAGTTCTGGCCTCATTTGCACCGGAACAGATACAGATTCGAGGTATGTCTGTTTTTAAAACTTTCAGTTTCACATTTCACGAATCTCTTTGGTTTCAGTGTAATCTAAAAATGTAGGTTTTTTTCGTAGCCAATACAATGATCCATGTGTTTTTGGGTGTGGCCAAATGGTAGTTTTAGGCCAACATTTTTGTCATGAACCATTCACCATTTGACAAAGATTGTCACGTTTACAAAGATATTTTGTATACTTGCCGATGTCTTGATCAAATTCTGACCAATGCAGCTTCTCACCGGTGGTTTAAGATTTTTCACGGCAATATTTAACAGCTTGTAGCGTTTCGCTCATACTGCTTTGCGCGTCGTCAGGTTAAGTTAGCTCGGAAGTCGAGTGAGGGTGCTTCAGCTGACTGTGATTGAAGTCATGTACGCCTTTAAAACTTGGTTGTGTTTGCCATGTTGCTTTTTACACTGTGTGCCATGGTTTACCATATTTACCCTCAGTGAAACCTGTGCTCAAAAAGCGGGAGTATGGAACCCGCTACACCCAAAACAACTTCATCACGGCCGTGCGGGCCATGAACGAATTCTGTCTGAATAGCAGGTACTGAAACCTGCTCGTTTAGAATCAAAGAGCAACTGATTGATGTACAAATAAGGCTTACTCGTAAAAAACGAAAAACTTGTTGTGCAGCTGTGCTGGTAAGCTGATGAGTTAAATAGTTTGCAGAATTCTGTCACAAACTGCTATTCAGACAGAATTCTGGCAGAATTCTGTCTGAATAGCAGGTACTGAAACATGCTCGTTTAGAAGCGAAGAGAAACTGATTGTTGTATGCATAAGGCTTACTCTTAAAAAAATACTGTGCAGCTGTGCTGGTAAGCTGATGAGTGAAATAGTTTGATTCAAAATAACAACTTCAGTAGGTGGAGTCAATGTCAAAATGCCACAATGCACTTTTTCTCTTTATGGAAGTATAATACTACACAGCACATTAAAGACAAACATTACACAACAAATGTGTGTATTCACCCTGGACTATGACATTAAATATTTGATAATAATAAAAAAAATCTTTCGAATTTTTCACCTTTGGCATTTATGTAAAAAAATTATAATACAGAATAGAAAATTTCTAATTTGTTTATGAGCTTTTCAAATTGGGTAAAATTAATTTCATAATGACTGAAAGAATACCTTTTGTATATTCAAGATTGTAGCATTTCATTTGTTTCCTTTCCAGCTCTTTAATCACAATGATGTCGCATCACATGTACTTATGTAACTCCTTGGCTGATATACCACTTATCATTGTATTTTAAAACATAAATTGAAACAATTAATTTTCTGTAATTGTGTTTCTTAAATATTGTGACGTGCAACATCGGCCAAATCTCAGATATTGGAAGCTAAGCAGGCTTGAACCTGGATTGTGCCTAGATGGACAATCAGGGCAGTGCAGCAACATCTATTGATGTACTGTACTTTTATGCTTCCACATCTGTACTCCCCGCACTGACCAGCATGGTGAAGTATGGTCATATAATCCCTACAACCGGCACAGGCATGGGCAGGCTCTTTATTATACATATATGGCACTTTCTAGAGCTTAATTTCTCACTGAATATGTTGTGTTGCTGGTAAACCGAAGCAGGGACATGACTGGTAGCCAGAGTAATAGCCACTGGAATACTGTATGTTGTGTGCCGGGTATGTAAATATATTTTTTTGGGTCGCAAACCCCGCTGACATTAAACCCTGCGACTCACAACATGTTTGTTTGATGGGTACTACTCCATGACCTTATGACATTTACACGAACATTAGTGTAAGAGCTGCTACTTTATAAATATACGGTAAGTAAAATGCTGTGGGAGTTGTAGGTGACTGGCATTGTCGTCTGCAGTGACCTGGAAAAACTGCGGAGGATTCGCAGGAGAAGTCCTCATGATGACTCGGAAGCCTTCACCGTGTTCCTGCGGTCGGACATAGAAGCAAAGTAAGCACTTCTCATGAAGCTGGCTGGGTGGCTCAGGTGTCTTGAGCAGTAGCCGACACTGCTGATATTGTTTGTTCAAAACTGGGCAGCCACCCTTGATTAAGCTGGGTTAATCAAGGGTGGCTATTGGTGCCTTTGTGAATGTTTAACAACGTGGGGCGCGGTAATGCAACAGTTCGCGTGCTGCACAATGAATCCGGCCGCCCGAGTTCGATTCCCACGGCCAACAATAGTGACGATTATCTGAACCGATCCTGGGCCTCCCCGAGGTCGACAGCCTCAAATGAGTACCTTGTGCGGTGTGGAGACATAGCCACTCGGGAGACAAAGGTTGCCTGGCGTGGAGCTGGCCACCCATCCCCTCGAGTGCCATGCTCGCCTTCATAGGTGCTCGCGAACAGCACTTGCCCTAATAGCCTGTTGACGCTACACGGGGTAGCCTTTGTTCGTCTTTGTTTAACGGTGTGCACTTGTTGGTGCTTGTGTGTGTGTGTGTGGCAGGGCGCTGGATGTGTGGGGCAGCTTGGACGCTCTGGCACGGGAGAGGCGGCGTCGAATGGTGATCGAGGAAGAATACAAAGAAAGTGTGTGGCCGGTCACCCACCCATCCCTTAACTCATCCTTTATTCACGACCGCAACTTTAAATATTAAATCTAATAAATGCCTGCTGTATTTACAGATGTTTTCAGGACCCACAAGCTCCTGAAGGAATATAAGGAATTTTTTGGCGAAACAAAGGTAAATGTTTTTTCTCGGAACCCCGTTGTCCGTCGTAATGAATAGCGCGTTCGCGCATGTATTATTTATTGCACCGTGGTCTGACCACTACCATTTATTATTTAAGTCGATATTACACCAGCCTTGTATTGGATCAAGTCGTTTTTCAGCCTGTCGTCAATAAAGACATCTTAAATCAAATGTTTATGGAACCATAAAAATAACTTTAAAAGACCTGCATATGAAGTATTAACCTCTCATCTATCCAAATTGTGAAAAATGGGAGTGCAAAATTACCATATGGCATTGCATTAAATAAGTTTTCTCTACATCTTTGACCACTCGCAAAACATCCGAGCGTTAGTATCCCAAACTTGAGCCAAATCTAACAGTTTTGACTTCATTGCATGCTACCAGTAATTTAATTTCTGCCTTTACAATTGTAAGGTTAAGTAATGAGGCCAGGTCTAGGGTTGAACCTTGATTTTTTTAATATATAAATGTAAACATTTAAGCATGCCTAATTGTTGTTTTGGAAAATCTAATTTGTTGAGTTGTAATTGAATTGTGGATGTTTATTTTTGATTGAATGTCAATTATGCTCTTATAAGCATGCCACTAGGCTTGCAGTACCTTCGCCTTGTTGTCAGTGCTTATGTTCTGGGCCAAAGAATCCACCCGTTCAAAGTGTTAGTTACACAAAGTCACCCTGTACACTGTTAATGCTTTCCATTAAGGTTGAAAGCATTAATGCATTACATCTGTCCATCTATTAGAGGTGCTGTGTGTATAACAACTCGTAAACATAATATTTAACTTGAGTATAAAGTTGCAATGATATTATCTATGTATGTTGGACTTCTTTCGCACCGTACGTAGCCAACCGTGCTAATCGGAGGTGCGGGGGAAGGACAGACCACTCAACACAAAAAAACTTTTCAAGAAATTAGTTTTTTATCTTGATTTAAAGTGCATAGCTCCAGTGGCTTCCAAATATCCGAAGGAAGAGCGTTCCAAATGGCCGCAGAAGAACATTTGAAAGCGCACGATGCAGTGATCTTATTAGCGATTCACCTATAAAATCGTCCGAATTGTTCAAAGGGATGCTCGCACGCTCCCCTGGCAGATCGGCTGTCCAAACCCTATTGTCTATTTGCGTCCTATGGACATACAACTTCCTGTGCGCCTGGCGCAAGCGCTCGGGTTATTGTCGATCAGCCGTCTGCAATCAGCCATAAAATCCTTGCTCGTGATTCCGCCGACCAGAACCGCACAATGGCCGGTAGAGCATTTCGAGTCGCCTGTCCATCGGTCTGGAACGCTCTGGCAGATGACATTCCATCCCATCCTATCTCAACAAATATTTTAAATCATTGTTTTTGCGCATCCTCTGGAACTTGGAGCAAAAGTTACCGGCGCCTCTCCACTCGAGTATTGCCACAGGCGTCGGCCTTGTGACATTGCCTATGAACTATGGCGCTGGACAAATAAATGTGATTATTATCATCGTGGTTTAAATACTTGCATGGACAAACGTGTGTTGCCAAGTGTTACAGAATCCGTACTTGATTATTTTCCTGGTTTTTTTTAATCGCTATAATTGCTTCTACGGTTTTGTGTTGGCAGCCCAAAGCAAGCACGACGGGCGCCTTCATGAAAGGGCCTGGGAAGGTGGTCATGGTTGCCATCTGCATGTAAGGTCACACGACGTTACGGAACAACACGAGGTGCACCCAGACGTATTCACCAAGTTAATTTGTGGTCACTTTTTGATATATATTCTACTTTACAGATAGTCCTCGTTTTAACGTGTAGTTTCTGAAATGTGCCACGTTAAGCGATAAACGCGTGAACCGACAATTACTCCGTAAATAATGTGATGATAAAGATTGCCGAGATACGATGGACGCATGGACGCAGTGAGATGGCGGGACAAATAACTGAGGGTACGTCACCACGTTACGGTATCATTCTGTGTACTGTATACTACCGCTTATCTGCGCAGCTCAAGAAAGTAGTTTGTCGTCAACCACTCGGAGACTGCATTATAACAGTGCGCGTTCCGTGTTATACCGGGCGCGTTTTGCGTTGTGAGGAAAGTGTTCCCAAATGGAGGAACCTCGTTATCGCGAAAACGCATTTTGTGAACACGCGATAAGCGAGGACTTGCTGTGCTCTAAAATGGTTGCATTGAATGCACACCCTGCTCTCATTGATACCGAAGTGTAGCGAGCGCAGGAAGAAAAAAAACAGAATTGGGCCCTAATTTGCTGTAACTGTACCACACTGAATGAACCGCTGCTCATTGGAAAGCACTCGTACAGTGAGGGAAAAAAGTATTTGATCCCCTGCTGATTTTGTACGTTTGCCCACTGACAAAGAAATGATCAGTCTATAATTTTAATGGTCGGTTTATTTGAACAGTGAGAGACAGAATAACAACAAAATCCAGAAAAACGCATGTCAAAAATGTTATAAATTGATTTGCATTTTAATGAGGGAAATAAGTATTTGACCCCTCTGCAAAACATGACTTAGTACTTGATGGCAAAATCCTTTTGGCAATCACAGAGGTCAGACGTTTCTTGTAGTTGGCCACCAGGTTTGCACACATCTCAGGAGGGATTTTGTCCCACTCCTCTTTGCAGATCTTCTCCAAGTCATTAAGGTTTCCAGGCTGACGTTTGGCAACTCGAACCTTCAGCTCCCTCCACAGATTTTCTATGGGATTAAGGTCTGGAGACTGGCTAGGCCACTCCAGGACCTTAATGTGCTTCTTCTTGAGCCACTCCTTTGTTGCCTTAGCCGTGTGTTTTGGGTCATTGTCATGCTGGAATACCCATCCACGACCCATTTTCAATGCCCTGGCTGAGGGAAGGAGGTTCTCACCCAATATTTGACGGTACATGGCCCCTTCCATCGTCCCTTTGATGCGGTGAAGTTGTCCTGTCCTCTTAGCAGAAAAACACCCCCAACGCATAATGTTTCCCCCTCCATGTTTGACGGTGGGGATGGTGTTCTTGGGGTCATAGGCAGCATTCCTCCTGCTCCAAACACGGCGAGTTGAGTTGATGCCAAAGAGCTCCATTTTGGTCTCATCTGACCACAACACTTTCACCCAGTTGTCCTCTGAATCATTCAGATGTTCATTGGCAAACTTCAGACGGGCATGTATATGTGCTTTCTTGAGCAGGGGGACCTTGCGGGCGCTGCAGGATTTCAGTCCTTCACGGCATAGTGTGTTACCAATTGTTTTCTTGGTGACTATGGTCCCAGCTGCCTTGAGATCATTGACAAGATCCTCCCGTATAGTTCTGGGCTGATTCCTCACCGTTATCATTGCAATTCCACGAGGTGAGATCTTGCATGGAGCCCTAGGCCGAGGGAGATTGACAGTTCTTTTGTGTTTCTTCCATTTGCGAATAATCGCACCAACTGTTGTCACCTTCTCACCAAGCTGCTTGGTAATGGTCTTGTAGCCCATTCCAGCCTTGTGTAGGTCTACAATCTTGCCCCTGACATCCTTGGAGAGCTCTTTGGTCTTGGCCATGGTGGAGAGTTTGGAATCGGATTGATTGCTTCTGTGGACAGGTGTCTTTTATACAGGTAACAAGCTGAGATTAGGAGCACTCCCTTTAAGAGTGTGCTCCTAATCTCAGCTCGTTACCTGTATAAAAGATACCTGGGAGCCAGAAATCTTTCTGATTGAGAGGGGGTCAAATACTTATTTCCCTCATGAAAATGCAAATCAATTTATAACATTTTTGACATGCGTTTTTCTGGATGTTTTTGTTGTTATACTGTCTCTCACTGTTCAAATAAACCTACCATTAAAATTATAGACTGATCATTTCTTTGTCAGTGGGCAAACGTACAAAATCAGCAGGGGATCAAATACTTTTTTCCCTCACTGTACGTACACGAAACAAAGGCAAAAAAACCCGTGTAGCATACACAAACTTTTGAGGCAAATTCTGTTAGTGAGCACCTATGAACGCCAGCACGGCACATGAGGGGGATTGGTGGAAATGTTTAAACATTGTTCCAGGTACTCATGAGGCCGAGTCGACCTGGGGGAAGCGCAGGACCGTTTCAGATATCACTCGTGTTAACCGTGAGCGGAAATCGTACTTGGTTCGCCGGGTTCGTAGTGTAGTTCACGAACCACTGCGCCAGACGTATGCATCCGCACTCGCTCGCTGGTAAATCTCTGCACTTCCAGAAATGGGCTGAACTTCGTTTTCAAGCTGCTGGCCTGGCTGCACACGGGCTCAAGCAGCATGTTTTCCGAAGCCATCCACTCGCTTTCCGACACTGCCAACCAGGTGAGCCTCTAATCAGGTGAGCCACTCTTCCCGGCCCAGCTTAGTTGGGTACCATCCGCTTCTGTCTGTCGAACGAGCTAATGACGAGACCGTAGAAACCGGGGCCTCCAGGAAGGTGCGACGGCCGTATGTTACGCAACACCCTGCGCGACCGGATGGAAACGTCGCAACAGTTCAATCAGAGGTCTAGTATTTTTTGTCCCGTTTGAACTGTCTCTATTATTGTGTCCCTTGTTCTGTCTTGCTCCTGCCATTTAGCCTGAAGGGTTTTGTTTGAACAAATTGTGCATATAACTTGTGTAAGGTGTCAATAAATGTTTCTTAAAACTAATTATTGTTATAAAAAATGGGTTTTAATTGCAGAATTGTTGCATGCCTAAGTGAGAAGTTATCGCATAATTGTACGAGTAGTTATGGGAGACTAGCATGCCGAGGAATTATGATTTATTAACAACCATTAAAATTATCATTAATCTCTTCATTCAATAATTTCACTTGGTAGCATATAAAATTGACTCGAATGAATATTTTTTTTACGCATGAAAGCTCCGAGTCTTGACATGCGCTTTATGTAGATTAGTTATATTTCTTTGCAGCACTGACGTGCGAATGTTGTACGTGCGTTGTGATTTTCAGGCCATTCTCGCGCTGGGAATCTATCACTCGGTCAAAAATCCTGATCCGAATCATCCGTGAGTAGACCAATGTGTACTCTGTCCCTTCCCGTTCAGCCTCTTCCAGTCTAACAACAGGGTTTCACTCGCTTTATGCAGTAGATGCTTTAAAAAAAAAAGGGGGCACACAAAGCGAAATCGCGTAGCATCGTAGGCCACAGTCACCCAAGCCACAATGCACCGCCTGCCGAGTAGTACATACAGTACACACACAATGTTGTCCATAAGTCTGACCGCATAACCGCATGAGTGAATTCAATCCGCATAAAGCAGATTTTGGGTAGAAATAGGTTCGCCGCATAAAGGCGAAATCGCATAAACGGAACCCGCATAAATTATATGTACAATTTTTTTACAACCAAATAGTTTCAACTAATACTGACTGCTATATCTGACCACACACAACTTAATAAGCATGTGAATTGTGTTGTGATCAGAAGTTAGTTATTAATTTACTTGCTTTGTATAGCATTTCTGGCTTATTCCTAATTCCAGCAAGACTATTCGTAACTTATATAAATCAGTGGGCCTCCTTGCCTAAAAAGTTTACTTTAGTTTAAAAATAATAAACAAATTATATACAATTTATCACAATACACCATTGCTTACGACGAGCAAGTTATTTGGCACGCCAACAGTGTTCCGTTTGGACGGTTTTTTTTGCTTTATTTTCCTTATGTATACAGCCTCCTGGCTTGCAACAAATTCTGGCTTACTCGAGTCCAGCTTCGAGAGTTTTTTTTTTGCTGTATTCGCCTAGCAATACCGTCCGCCGCTTTTCCCGCAGGTACGGCTTCAGCAACATGCGCTACATCGCATCGCTCATCAGCGGCGTGGGCATCTTCATGATGGGCGCCGGGCTGTCCTGGTACCACGGGGTCATGGGGCTGCTTCACCCACACGCCATCCAATCGCTGCTGTGGGTCAGTACTGCCTCTCTTTCTATCTATCTCTCTCTCTCTCGATGGACTTAGAGGAAGGGCAAGCTGCAAATGCAGATTAAACTTCCGGCCTCAAGAAGTGGCCGGATGGCTCAGATCGGAGCACTAAGCTGCTGTCTTGAGATTTTGTGTGGATATACAGTCTGTCCTCACAATACCAAGCTAATGCAGGGGAGGAGTGCCAAGGTACATCCATTTTCTTGACAAAACCCCATTATGGTCATGAAGATTAAATTAGTCCGTTTATAACTGGTAATGTTATTTGTATTGTTTTTTTTATATGCATGTTTCCAAATGTAAAAGTTAACAAAGAACAGCACTGAAAACCACCGATCATGATCATCATGTGCACTTTCTGGAAGGCTCAGCCCAATGCTTAAGTAAACACTCGACAGTACAGGACCTAAACTGAGACTGCCTGATGCGTGACGTTTCTGCATAGTGTGGAGGCACAGCTAATATCAAGTCACAATTGCATTGTGCAATCTTTTCAATGTTTTAGTTGCAGGAGTGTTATTTTCTCTTTTTTCAGTGGTCTACCTTAAAAGGCCTTTAAATGTGAGATGCATTATATATGGCCACATTCTTTAAAGGATACGGTCCATTGTAATTTCAAACTGATGGTTATGGTGGGGAATTTCAGATGAACGTTGATGACGATCCCCTTGCTGCAGTTGAAACTTCTCGCCTCTGAAATGAAAGGCTTATGCGCCTCAAGAAATTGCCATGAGTCTTCTATGAAAATGCCATGGATCTCCATGGTGAACAGTGTTTTGATAGTTATTAATGTAGTCGACATTCAACACGTGAATGCACCATTGGCGACAGCAGAAAGCGATGGCTATAGAGTACCGGTGATTTCCAAAAAGAATGAACACAGTTTACAGTTGTCCTATTATTCTTATACCACCTACATTTTAAAAGGTCCACAATCTTCGCGCCTTTGAGATGGTAGCTGTCACAAGGCTGTGTGCATTTTCATCATCATCAGCCACTCTCAATCCACTAATAAATAAAATCCTCCCCATGCAGTCACCGTCTCTCATGGTCCGGTCATACCCCTGTGGGTCTGACTACTGCACGTGAACTGATCTCATTCGCTCCGTGTCAGCGGTGGCAATCCTCTTACATGACCGCATTTACAACGTAAGCTCTGTTGAATTGGTGGCTATCACAAGAATGTGTGCATAAAAATATGGTAGTGATATCAAATTCTTGGTTACATTAAATTTCGATTTAAAGCTTTCGTGACTGCAATGATTCATCTTCTTTGGTTCTTTCGGTAAAGTCACGTAGAATGAGAATAAAATAATAAATTGATAAAATAAAATAACACAATAATATTCTCACGACGTTTCGGCCACAACACAAGCAGCCTTCATCAGGTGAAGGGGGCGAGACTGTCTGGTAGGACAGCGCTGGAGTGAGAGAGCCACGTTCAGATCACGGCTTAAAAGCTCACTCCAGCGCTGTCCTACCAGACAGTCTCGCCCCCTTCACCTGATGAAGGCCGCTTGTGTTGTGGCCGAAACGTCGTGAGAATATTATTGTGTTATTTTATTTTATCAATTTATTATTTTATTCTCATTCTTGGTTACATTGTTGAAAATTTTCATTATGTAATGTCGGAAATTCCAGGCTTTCTGCATTCTTGGAGGCTCGCTCATTTCTGAAGGAGGTAATTTCCCTTATTATTCCAGCGCATCACATTTCTTTATTTGCATGTATATACAGAATATATGTTTCATATGAGTAACCGATACAGTCGACCTATTTGCAAGTGGGCTTAGTGCACTTTTCATGGGCTTCACACTCTCAAGAAGGTGAATACCTTGGTTCACCATATGGGCATAATCTTTTTAAATGTTTAGCATTAGACTTAAAGCAATTAAAAACGTCAGGCTGTGACCTATCATATCAATAAAACGAATTAGCCTCATGACTAAACTTTCAGACCCTAAATTCTAAACATTGTTTTTTTCTTTACAGTTATAATTATGCACCCAACTGTATTTGTGCCAAATGTCACCTTACTAGCTCTCTAGAATATCATTACAATTTACACCAGTGACTTTTTTGCAGTGTTCAATATGCATTAGATATATTAGTTGTGACTTAGCGCATCTATGAATGCATCTCTGCTTTCACAGCCACCCTTCTCGTCGCCATCAATGAAATAAAGAAAGGCGCCCGAGCAAAAGGAATGACCTTCTTCGATTACGGTACATTATTTGAGTTGTGTATTATGTTATTGCCAAGAAATACAAGCAATTATATATACATATATGTGTATATATATATACTTTTAATGCACTCGCATCTGAAGACGCTTTCCAGAAATAACAACCACGCAATAATGTGAGTATTGGGGGTTTGGGGTAGGGCTCCAGGATAGGGAGAGAGGAGAGAGCAACACCACGGCACAACCCGGAATTAAGCAACCGGGGAGTTCACCACAAACGAGGACAAACCCGAGAGAGACGGGGGGGGTGGGCAGCCAGGGCAGCACCAACAAGCCACAGGATGTCCTCAGAGGTTGGGGCCGGAGCCCTTCATCATAGTACTTTCTCTTAGTCCATCATGAGTTGGGGGCTGGTGGGGGGGGGGGGGGTTGTTTCTGTGTGTGTTCGGACGCTCGGTTGGTTTCGGAACTCGGTGCCAGACTGCGGGCCCTGGCTTTTGCCTCTTGTGCCCCGGTGCCGCCGCTCAGTTCTCCGGAGTCGGGACCCCAGCACCAACGTGGTGCTGCTGGAGGACTCGGCCGCCGTGCTCGGGGTGGTGATCGCCGCCGGATGCATGGGCATCACGTCGCTGACCGGTGAGCCCCACTATGTGAGAAAGTATTATGACCCCCGTAACATTCAGGCCGCCACGGTGGCGAGATGTTAACTCCCCCGCGTGATTATACTGGAGGTTGTAGGTTCGATCCTGACCCTTACGCTTGTATATTTGGAGCTGCATGTTCTCGCTGTGGTCGTGTGGAATTTTCTCTGGCTCCTCCAATTTTTTCCCCACCACATTTAGAATCAAGGTGCGTTTAGAGTCTTTAGCTGCTCTAAATTTGCACATGATAAGCCACTTTGTTGGAGCTATTATTTGTGGCCAGGTCGCTTCTGAAAAAGAGCTATTTAGCTCAGTGTGCCTTATCTGTAAAAATAAAAATTGTTTAGTTTAATTCTGACCCCAGGATACAAAAAAATATGTGAACTCTACACACCCCATAAAGTTCTGATTGATTGATTGACCCCCCCCCCCCCTCCAGAAGCATTTTTGGTTAGCTGATTATACGTGCACCCCAATATAGATAACAGCCAATTTGAACAAGGGTGTAAGATATCTTCGACAGATTCCCCTGACTTTATCCCTAACCTTGTATAGTATTCTGGCCCTGCAGGGGTAGGGGAGTTATAGTGCAGCATGATATAATGTTCACCCCAAGGTGTTCGAATAATTACGAGTAATCTGACCCTGGGTTGAGAGTGGATTGTGGGTAAGTCTGTAATAATTAATAAATTCGTTGATCGATATTGATTCTTACATTTCACACGTGTAATGTTTCAATGAATGCATATCATATGCAAATGTTATATTTAAACTCGTAGAGTGGGGGGCCTGTACAAAAAAGAATAAACAATGAGTTTGTGAATTGTGATGCAGAGTTGAGACAAGTAATTGCATCCCCAGGATGGGCAGACGGTTTGGATGAATGTTTACAGGCCTAATTATGGCTATGCGCTATGCATAACAGATATTAAAGGGCAGGCCCTTCCCATAAATTTGGCTAATCACGTTAGAGGTTTGTGGATGGCCACCATCCATCATTACGTTCTCTACATGAATGCATACACTTAACCTTTAGGGCTTCCCCCTTTGTCAGGCAAGCACTATTAAAAATAATCTGTACATACAGATATACACACACTCGCACACAAATACGAAGCTCCCCTTCATAGCCTTTAACTGACTAATAGGGCAAGTGCTTTTAGTGAGCATTTACGAAGGCCAGGACTGCGCACAAGGAGGTGGTGTGGTCATAACCACTCTCGGCCGCTTTTTTTTCCCCCCAGTGCTGATATGAACACACTGCACCAGGTGCACCTTTAAGGATCAGTTGACCTTGGGAGATGTCTAGCACAGTTCTGGTATCATGTGCCGGTATCAGGATGCAAATTTGAAAATCACACCGCAGATTACTCAATGTTGTCCTTCCCCCACACCTCCGATTAGCACGGTTGGCTACGTACAATGCAAAAGAAGTTCAACATACATACATTGCGATTATATACATAGCAATCATTGCCCCCCGACTTGGCCACGAATTCCCCCGGTCACTGCTTGGTCTCTTTGGGTGCTCACCTGGTTAAACAACGAAACAAGGATGACGTGACACCGCGTGACGAGCGAGTGGCATGTCGCGCAGGGAACCCGCTGTACGACAGCGTGGGCTCGCTGGGCGTGGGCACGCTGCTGGGCATCGTGTCCGCCTTCCTCATCTACACTAACACCGAGGTGCTGCTGGGCCGGTCCATCCAGACCGATCAGCTCAGGCGCATCACAGAGTTCCTGGAGAACGACCCCATGGTCAGGTGAGTTGAGGCAGTGTGGGAGGAAGTGCAGAGCGGAGCAGACCGGGTGCTGTTCGCCGAGCGTTGCGTTTATAGAACTCGAACGATCGATCGAGTCCATGGATTGATTGCTAATTTTTAATAAACTTTTTTTATATTATCGATTACTCTGGGCCCTTTGAAGATAGCGACCCTCCCCCACATTCTGCCTCTCGAATGTGGGAGACCACCCGACAAGCCGCCCCAGGCGCAACGCGGCTCACGATGCCGATGACGTCACCAAGCCCTGCCCATCACCTCACGTACACTGGCACACTTGCGAACAAATGTGAGTGGTTGAAACGGTAATCGGTAGAGTAATTGGTTACTTAATCGAATAGCCCACCTCTAATTGTGCCCAATAATGCGTATACATTAATAATCATATCCTATGATAATGGGCGCATTATAACCGTCTTCAACCAGGGCCTGTTGTATGTATATGTATGTTGAACTTCTTTCGAACCATACGTAGTCAACCTCTGCTTAACAGGAGGTCGCTCCTACCCGTTACATGTGCAAGTTTTAGCCCTTCACTCCAGTTTCCTGCCTCGTACAGACAGTACAATCCTTTCATGGAATTGCCCAAACATCCCTAGCATTATAAAGGAGACCCAAGTGAATCAACCACAACATTGAGTGGTCAATTACAATCTTTTAGTTGACTAATAGACGCGTCGTTCCGGCTGCCGCCCCACGTCCCCCACATCCCCCACATCCCTCGCTGCTCTCTGGTTTTAGTCTCCGGTGCTGTGTCTCGCCAGGGCCATCCACGACGTGAAGGCCACTGACATGGGCATGAACAAAGTGCGCTTCAAGGCGGAGGTGGATTTTGACGGGCGGGTGCTGACACGCTCTTACCTGGAGAAGCAGGACATCGAGCAGATGCTGAACGTACGGCTGGGCGAGGAGCACTTTGCTTGATCTATCTATGTGTATATGCGTACATATTCATACGTACATTTAGCTACAAAATCTCAACACATTTGTCAACAGCACTGCCATAAAAATGAAAATGAATTTTCCATGTTTCTGAGCCATATGCAATAGCAGGTAATATACACTGATCAAAACCGTTCTTCTTTAGGCACATTGGTACGTTGTATTTCAGTTTGAAAGATAGTTTTCCTAAATTATACTAATCCTTTTGGTCCCAGTCCATCTTCAATAATGCCCCTGGGTGTACGATATTCTCTGCTATGTTTTCCAGTTTCGCTAAATATTGAAAAGATATCTGTCGGACACAACTGTGTGAATTGCTTCGTGCCTCGTAATTACAAGAAAGGTTATAGTATATTAAATCAAAATAATTGTTACTCTTGATATTCGCGCCATTCCTATATCACAAGGCTATCATAAAGGTGCTACGTTTCACAGATGAATATAGTCTGCAGTAATTTCACCGTAGATGGCTATATCGCTGTGTGGTGTTTACTAAATGTGGTAAGTTGTGAGAAGTAAAACAAATGTGGACCGTGATGTCAACACACATGGTCTAGTGATTTTCCCACATCACATCACAAGATTTGTGACGTGTGAAGCGGGACAGCACACATTTTCGGTCAATGCGATTATAACTAGGGTGGGCGCCGCAACAAGCGGCAAATCGAACTACCGCACAGCCACATCACCACCTCAAATTGCGATCACGGCAATTAAATCCCTCCCCGGCCACGGTGAGCCATCCGTCGCTCGTTGTAAACACGCCACATCTCATCCCGTTCTGTCGTTCTTTCGGCGCCACCAGGAGATCCAGATGGTGCGGACGGCTGAGGACCTGGAGGGGTTCATGCTGAAGCACGGGGAGAACATCGTGGACACACTGGGCGCTGAGGTGGACCGGCTGGAAAAGGAGCTCAAGGTAAGGGGATCCCTCGTCTGTGCAACAAGAGCTTCCACGCCCAGCTCAGCAATGGGATCTGAGATTTTGAAACTTTTGTTTGCCCTACCAAGGACATCTGAGCTGCGGATGAAGCAGTATCCCAAAAAAATTCCTTGTCTCACTAAGTACGTAATGATGCATCGGGTTATCGATTAATGTCGATGGTTATTCTTGCATAACATCCGTTGAATCATCTGTGAGGACTGATTATAATCGATGCAAATTAAGTGGCAATATTACATTTCGGCTAATGGAATGAATGTAACTGCGCAACTGAGATTAATTAATCGAATCGTGACTGATGAACGGCGTAAGTGAATCATTGGATGGCTTTGTCTAACCAAGGAAGACGATTTCCTTTTTATGAATCTAGCCATTACATTGTGTAGCTACCATACCCCTAGAACCCCAATAACAATCCTGACTAGTCGCAAAATGTTTTCACAGCGGCAACATTTTTTTATAAACAGAGCACCCATCAACGGTACAAACTTGTGATTTAAAGAATTCTAAGAATACCTCTAGCCTCCATATCAAATACAATTGACGCTGTGACTTGATACAATAACACTTCTGGTCACGGTCACGGGTCAGTGGGTCACTGTGGCTCGCGCCGTTGATACCACACCACACCACACCTCGCGACCGCTTTCCACCGGGTGCCATCGTTGCAACGTCGACGACCGTAAAGGTCGTCCGCTTACGGTAACTCGCTCGTCTCACCCCTCGGTCACGTAGCCGCGCCGCAATTTATTCGGTTGCATTTGCTGTAATCCCCTTTTCAGAAACAAAATCCGGAGGTGCGTCACGTGGACCTGGAAATTTTGTGAGGTCACCCACAGACCCGACCTGCCGTCCCACCCCTTGCGGCCGGGCCCGCCAGCCAACCTCCAACTTGGCGTGGACTTGAGTGGGGGCGGCGGCAGATATGAGGAAAGCCACCGTCGGGCCACCGCGGCGTCACTACAGACCAAGCCGCCCCCTTCTCGGAGGCGTTTCAAAACCACGACTGCTGCATGACAATCGCTAGACTGGCTCCGAGCACGCGTCTACGCGCTCAAGTGACGTTCGTAGCTTTTTTTTTTCGTGTCCTTGTGCATCGTCCTCTTGCTCCTCTCGCTTTCCACTTAAAGCGACTGTGGTCAAGTGCACTTTATGTCTTTTGATGCAGTAGTAACTTTGTTCCACCGATTGCTGTGCCGGCTACTAATATCTACGTAATGTTATATCGCAAGTAAAATAAAATAACAACTTGATGTTTAGAGCAGGTTATAAAGTTTCGTGGCGGACTGCAGGGCTCAGGCCAGATTCCCTGTAATGTCTGACGTCGTTAATCATCATCCCGCGTTCCATGCCGCCCCTTGTGAATGTACAAACCTGGTCCTTGTTATCGTGTCGCGAGCAGAGAATTTCAAACTGCTGCTGTGCTCGGCAGCGATCGCATCTCGTCCATTTGCGGGTAGGCGTGTAACAAATTGTCAAATTCATCGATTAAAATCGATTCTTACCCTCGTGTGAGGATCCATCATTTACCACTCGTATGTACGCCGTACGTTCCCAATTCACGTGACGCCTCCCAGACTAATAAAGATTATGGAAGCCATTGCGATGTTGGATTTTAAAAAAAAACATACCCAAATCATGACGTTCAAATCGCGAGGTGGGACGGAGGATGAAACGTAACAGACCTACTTGGCAGTCCTTGTGAAATCGGATTTCGTAATGTACTCTTGCTTAAACGTGTCACTATTCCCTTATTTAAAACATTTCAGAATGTTTCTCGTTTTCCCTTCTCTTCGTGTGGTAACCGTCACCGCCATCAGCACCACAACTGTGCTGTTGAGGGCTTACGATCGCAGCTGCTTCAAGAGGTGCGAACGTAGCGCTCCGCACTTCTCTTGCGAATTGTCCACTAGAGGGCGAGCGGTGGCCGCTTGTAGGAGCAAGATTCACTTAGACGCCACACCGGAATGTATCGCGGCTGAAGATGACCGTGTTCACGCTAACGATGCGGAGGACACGCACGGCCAGCCGATAGTTCGTGTGGGCGCAGAGCATACGCAACGCATCAATTTATGAAAAATAAAACGCACACTGGGCAAGGACGTGCAAACGTTTGTCCTCGGCGCTTGAGTGGAATATCTGTTAAAAGTAGCGCATCTTTTATATCTGTCCCTCTTCTCCTGTACCCTCTGGAGGCTCACTGAAGAGCTATTTTTTTTCTGGACGTTAGCTATTTCCCAAAGGTAATTTTAATTGAATCGGTAAAACTTTTTCGACTGAAACAGCAATTTGGAAATCCAGTGTGTGGAGCTAGTGAAGTAAATAATTACAAAAGCTATAAAACCTGGTTGCCTCTGGCCCAATCACCCAGAATGCATCCACGGGACAACATTGTTCTACGGCATATGGCAGTACAGCAAAATCAAATGGTTACTTTCGTCTATGCCAACCCCTTCACCAACCCGCACTGACAAGCATGTTGGAAGTATGGTCATATAACCACACGGCGTGAGGAGGCCCTCATCCAGCAGTGGATTTACTAAGTTATGCACTTTTGCGGGACTTTGTAATTGATCGACGCAAGCTTATTCCTTGGCTCGAATCTTTTCCACGAACCAATGTATCTTTTTTCTGGACGGATAATTTCATAACGACATTTGTTTCAGCAGGAAAAGTCTGGATTTCGTCTTTCCAGATCTCATCAGCAGATGGTCAAACCTTATCTATCCGGAGCTTGCCTGCTCAAACAAATGTTGGGTTTAGATACAAGCATCTCAAAAAGACCCACAACTTACAAGGCAGCCTGGACAAATCGCAAATAATATCTGCACCAGTCCTGATTTCTCTGGGTGAGCTGCCTGTGTAACTGTGATCGCAAATGAAGCCTTGCCGCATAACAAAGATGAATGCAAGAGTGACCACGAGACTCGGTTTGGGATTCTTTTGCGTCGACAAACTAGTATTGTTGCTCTTTACAAATTGTTCCCACATAATAATACAGCAGTGGATAGGTCATGGCCGTGCCATGCAGACTGCATTATGACTACGAGACCCTGCTTGCATTTCAAACATCTCGAAATTAAGTGAGTGTGTGTGTCTATATTCTTGGTTCTTTCGGTAAAGTCACGTAGAAGGGAAACAATAAAATAATAAAAATATAAAACAATAACATTCTCACGACGTTTCGTCTGCAACACAAGCAATCATCATCAGGTGTGAAAACCACAGCAAGAAAATTTGAAAAAAGTGTCGGTTTGTGTGTCTATATACGTTTTGGGGAGCGGTAGTGTAGCGGTTAGCACGCTGCGCTGTGAACCCGGCGACCTAATTTAAATTCCCGCTCACGGCCAACACCAGTGACGAATATTTGAACCGGTTCTGGGCCTTCCATAAGTCGACTCGACTTAAATGAGTACCTGGTGCGGTGTGTAAACATTGCCGCTGGGGAGACAAAGGTGTCCAGGCGTGGTATTGGCCACCCACCCCCTCGTGTACCGTGCCAGCCTTCATAGTTGCTCGCTAACAGCACTTGCCCCGACAGTCTGTTACAGGCTATACGGGGGAGCTTTGTCTTTATATACGTGTGTTAGCATGTGGTGGCTAACATCAGAGCTGATTCTCCTGGTTCTGTGCCTCCCTGTGGTTCAAATGGCTTCAAGGTAGCAATCGGTTGCAGTGTGTGAACATCACCGTTGTGGAGACAAGGTGACCGGGCACAGCGCTGGCCACAGCATCTCCTCGTTCTTGCCTAACCAAGTGCTTGCTTAGCAACGCTTGCCCTGTCAGGTAAAGGCTTTAATGGGGATCTTTGTTCAGGGTGAATTGATGCCTCCATCCATCCATTTATTTATTGATTAATATCGATTCTTAAGCTCATGATGCACGCATTTAATCGCATTTGTAAGCGTCGATATTTTTCCAATCGTATATTGTATGCCATGGATTGACTTGACCATTTGCAACTATTGGAGCCTGCTAAAAATGTTCTAATCTTATAGGGAAACAAAAAGAAACCTTTTTTAATCGAATCGTGAATAGAATTTCAGTGAGAGGTGAATTGCTAGCCCCCCCTGGTGTCTGTGTATAAGCTTGTGGACACGAGTCGATGTAGGGTGCATGTAACTCGGTTGAAGTCATCACACATTGGCAACTCAACCAATTCAATCAACGAGTCGGCACAGCAAGTTAAACGGGGGGGGGGGGGGGAATAATCCCCCCCCATCACTCCCACCAAACCAGGCATGTGCACAGTTAAATATTGTTCGAAATTTGATCACCAGTTTTTAACCAATATTGGTTGTAGTTGTGTTTTTTTTGCACATTAGACAGAAACTGTTCACTGGCAGTTGGCTTGGTCAGAAATGAATGTGAATGCAACTCAAAAACTCGGTGTTTGTGTGAACAACAGCTGTTGGGGTAGTCGGCGGTTATAAATATCAGTGACAGTTCCATGAACAAGTTAATTCAAGTTGCCCGTGCCAGGATTATTGTTGTGTGGATTACCGATTCATGAAATGCACTGATTCGGATCCTTACGAATATTTTCTTGCAACACAAAGAATATATGTTCTTATGGGTGGATACAATCGAGAAGATTTTAAAAAAATTCCATCCCATTTGGATTCGTACAACAGGGTCTGCATGCCAAATGTATCTCCCGCCGACAGTGTAGAAAGAGTGGGCATACTTAGCAATGTTATTATTCCGCTTCTTTACCCAGGAAATCTTCAACGAGTCTAGAGACTCTCATTCAGGAGGGTCCTGCCAAGTTCTTGCAGTGGGGGGGGGGGGTGTGATTTCGCTGTGATGTGTAATCCAAATTGAGTAATTTGCAGGTCATCTTTTAACAGTGTAACACTCCCACTCGCTTGAGTGGTGTTGTCGCGTGGAGGGACCGCTCCACTACTTGGCGCGTGAAGGCGTATAGCAGTGATCGCTTTGTTGTTTACATACACGGCTCTCTCCGTCCAAATTTTATACCCAGCGCAAATATTCCCTCTGAATCCACAACAGTTAAAAATAATAGGGTTTTTTTTTCCTTTTGGGTTAAATTGCGTAAATATAAATGTGTCATTAAACCCGCCTCCATTTATATTTAAGTGCTCTAACCCAAACCTCTATTATGGATGATATTGGTCATGATAGCCTACGTGTTAAGTAAAACAAAATTATATTTAAAATAATCAAGTCATCGGGTGTACGGGTTACGTGGTTGGCAGCTGGGCCCGGTGCGCGAGAGTAAATCATCCCGCACTTCCACGCTCCTGCATCTCAATTCCCCGCCTTGGGTTAGCCCTCTCTGATTAGCGTGGTGAAGTATGGCCAAACAATCCCCACAGCCCACACGTCACGTGGGGTCCTACGGGGTGTTGATTCGACAGCTTTGCTGCTATTCGACACACGGTATATTTTTGGGTATGAAACTTGGATTGGAGCTCCCCTGGAGTTTTTTTGCGCAGTAACGTGTACTATTTATGTTTTAGCCCTCCCCCCCCCCCCCTGCTTGAAAGCTGTGAATGGTGCAAGGAGCGTTTGACATTTCCGATATGCACCGTGATATCGAGCAAGGCTGCGTTGTGTCGCAGTGTAACTTTCTTTACCGGCTGGAGGAGGTTTGGCTTTTCAGCGAGTTCATTATCAGCAGAAACTAGTGTTGGAATTTGGAATGATTCCCTGAAAGATTAAACGCGAAGTTTGAATTTTAAGGGCGTGTCTGTAACATGTGAGGCAACGGCCGTTTTTTTTATTCCACATGTGTTTCATTTGTTTTTTTGAGTTTCGTTTAGAAATGTAACGTATTTTAGTTAGCAAACTTGCTGCTGATTTGCTCAACAAAATCCGCTCAAGCCGGGTCCACACCCTATGGATCAGTTGTATGCAACTTGGTTGCATGTGACTGAATCAAGAATGTATGCGGACGTCTCTGCAACCAGTTACTCGCAGTGGAGACAGGTTCTGCTTTCAAGTGATCTGCTCCGTTCAGCAATGCTGCACATGTATGAACTTCGATTCTATATTATGATCCCACGTAATATGCCGTTTTATTTCCTTGATGTATGGACATTGAACTACTTTCGCACCGTGCATCGCCAACCGCTCGCTCATGATGTGGACGAAGCAGTTTACGAGCGATGATTAAGCTGTTGCGATTTCGAGAGTGTATTTGGTAGCGCTAATGAGATCCCCCTGCGTGTGGACGTGGCTGAAAAAGTTTAATATTTATGAAGTGTCTAGGTGCGTTATTTGGTGAATTGCATTTTCGTAGCATAACCAGCCAGGGTCGTTCAAGGTTAAATTAGAAATTTTGTTCGAGATTCCCCCCCCAAAAGATGACGGATCACTGTTAAAAGTGTGCAGAGTGGTCGTGGTGACATCCCAGCCACGCAAAGGAGCCTGGGAATTTAAAAATGCGGTGGCGAATATTGCCCCACGCTGAGGGGCAGCAGCGTTTTGTGCTCGGCAGTTTCTGGCCCAACGAGAATGATCAAAGCAGGTGATGTGTACAGGGGGTCACTTGAAGAGTGTGGTGATGTGTGTGCAAAAGGTTTCCGAATGTGTGGGTAAGTCGAGCTTGAACACCGGACGATATATTCTGGCGTAGATGTGAAAAAGGGGGGCGTCTTGAAATCTTTGTGAACGCGTTCTAAAGAAATGCATGCTGTTGGCAATAAGGCGGAACAAGACCGATGAGGCACGGGTGTACGCATCACAGAGGGATGCATATATTGAAGCGCGCGGTGACTTTCACCCTCTTTAACTGAGACACGTCTACAACTGCATGCGCAGGTTAACCTTGAAGGAGCTTCGTAAATTCTCTTAACAAATAAGGTAACGGAATAATAGCGAAGGTGATTGTGCTATTCACATGGCATTCGCTTTACGTCCGTGTGTTCTCTCGCCTTATCCTCGAGATGTGTTTTTTTTAGAGCGCTGATTATCCAGGGTCACTAAGCAATGTAAAAACAAGTGATTATTAAAAGGTTTATTTAAAAAAAAAATCTCTGTATATGCTAGTTTGGCAGTTTCCGTGTGTCTGCTTTGATATTGAAATGGCCATCGCAAACCAACAACATGTGCGTATTTTCAACTTCTTTTCGCGCCGTACGTAGCCAGCCGTGCGAATCGGATGGTGCCAACAAAGTTGGCGGCCTCTCATTCCCGGTTGTGCCTCGTGTGCTTGGGCACGAGGTCCGACGTTTTGCGGCACGTGCTGCCGTGGGAGCCTCTTTCAGTTCCACAAGACGCATCGGACTGCGAAAGCCCATACGTAGTGTTAACATTATTAGTTGGCATTGCCAGACAATGCTGGATGTATTCAATAAATTACCTGTGCAGCTTCCACTTCAAGATTGCGTTAAAGAAGCGAGTAGACATTAACTCAAGTTTTAATACAGTACAGTGTGTATGTTGAACTTCTTTCGCACCGTGCGTAGCCAACCGTGCTCATCGGAGGTGATATAGAAATTGAGTAAACCTTATATTCAAGCGGCTAGATTTTTTTTACACAGTTGGAGCAACCCTTACATCTGTACGCGGGATATTGAGTTGTATTTAGCAAAGTGTAGCTTGGAGCGCACGGTGTTTACTCGGTTGAGAGCTAATAACACGCAGAGATGCCGTATTGCGTGGACAAAAGCTCTGCGGGGTTATCTCGCAATTTACAATGGTGAGCTTGCAACTGAAACAAACATCTAAATCAACATACAGATATCTAAAACATTGTATCCTCCAAGACATCCGTGCTGTCAATTCCCACAAGAACGTGGAATTTCCACACATTGGCTCAGGTGCTGTAAACCCGAGATTAAATTTGGTGGGGGGGGGGGGGGGGGGGGGTGGGGAGGGGGAATGACAACGGCAAAATTGAAATAAAAAAAATTACGTGTTTGTGATGTGCACCAAATGCCTCTTTCACTTATGGGTCGTTGCCGACACCGCCAAAACCCCACATCTTCCTATCCGTCCTCTGCGCTTTCAAAGCCCCATTCGGGCTGGAAGAATGAGCGGTGCGGGCTGCCTCGCGGCCACCAACAATGCCGCGCGCGTTGTCTCTTACTTAGCGGAAATCGTCCTTGACTGGAGCAGCAGCCGCCGCAGCCACCAGACGCTGCAGTTCCGCGAGCCGCCGGGACACCGGGGCGAGAAGCGCAGTAAAGTTACGAA